GACGTACTCACATCCATAAGAGTGTCGTACCAGGACGTACTCACACCCACAAGTGTGTCGTACCAGGACGTACTCACACCCACAAGTGTGTCGTACCAGGATGACTTTTCCCCCGTGAATGAGCTGGAACCAAAAACCTTCCAAAATCGCTGGTGTCTGTTGTGTTCAAAATGAAGCAACTCCAGAGGAACAACGTTCATATACAGACAACCAGAAGGTGTGCGGACCATCCTATTGGTCTAACAGAGTTCTTCTGTGGCGATTGGGTCAGAGTTGGTGAGGTAGGCAGTGTCCACGCCTCTGAGCACATGACGTCTCCTGGTGAGTTCAAGGTGACTAGTTATTTGGAGTGGTGCAATGAGGTTACACTGAATGCTGCGTTCAAAGTAACTTGGATTTTGAATGTCTCTTGGTCAATGTAGATATATACGTTATATTACGTATTAACATGCATGCATTAGCTAATCACATTACATTTAATACAATAATATATATGCATTGTTATTTTATTCTTTTAAAATTACAGTTACACACTGGCATTATTGTTCTCATTTCTTTATTGATTACATAACTTTAGAAATTCAACGGCACACCAGTGTTACAAAATATGCATTTCTTTATTGATTACACAACTCAAGGAAAGTAGATGATCAGTTTTTGATACCCTACATGTCCGAGGGGGGGGCTCACAGGTGCACCACAATATTTGATGCAAGGAGGCTGTGTAGAAACACATAAGTAAACAGATTGCATCATCAAACATGTCATCATTCTGATTTTAAAAAATTGCAGGGAGCAAACGCTTCGGGAAGCAAAGAAAGTGCAAATCACAGCATCATTATCATCAGCACATTGGTGGGAAATGTCGGGCTGATTAAAGGTTGCGTGAGGTTAATAATCTCAAAGGATTTACACAAGAGGGGAAACATTAGTCAGACAAAAGGAAGCGTTCCGGCTGCCACAGGGTTCGTGGGAAGTGCATTTTATGAGTGCTTCCATTTAACAGCCTTGATAACACAATTTAACCGCAAAGCGTTTTTTAAAGCGAGCGACAGGAGAAGAAAATGTACTTACTTTAGACTATTTGTGACGCCGAGGAGAAACCGATGAGAATATTTCATCGTGTTTGTTTAGTCAAAAACAGAGAAACGTGGCAACAGAAGAAACACTTTCTATCACTACTTTTTATTCAACGGTTGATTGCAGCATGTTGGGGAATGCGCTCTTTCTGTCATTTTACACAAATCCCATGTTAAAATATGACGCTCCATTCAGTCCTGCGCTGACGTTATTGACTTCTCTGTGCGTTTAAAGTAGGCTGATATAAAGATAGAAAACGTGTGTGCCCGCCGTGATCGTTTGTTCCTCGTCACTCTGAAGCGTTCCAAAAATATAGTTATTTTATCTCGGGCTGAAACATGTGGCGTGAACGACCCCGGCAGAACCAGCGAGCTGCTGGACGTCGACGTGGGGACGTCGCCCGGCGGTTTTGGGGCCGGCCCCTCCGGAGCTTTGAGTTCGGTCTCATTGAATTGAATGAGAACGTGTGTCCAAACCTTTGACTGGTTTAAAAACAGAGAATTAGCAGAGAGATCAGGATCGAGGGTTAAAGAGGATAAAGAAACTCAACAACGGTCCCAGGTGAGACTGAAACAGAGAGTTGTGTCTCAATTCACATCAAGAACCACACGGGGAGACACGGCAAGAGACCGGAGACTAGCGATTGACTCGTGTTCCCAGAGATTAAATCGGTAGATCGTTTGCTCATAGACTTCTTCTACAGGACCAGAGGAGTCGCCCCCTGGTGGCCAGTGGAGAGAATGCAGCTTTTAAGTTGACGCACGGGCATCACAAGTTGCTGGACATGCACAGATCAGGAGATATGATTGGTAAACAATTCACTGTCGCAATCTGTATTTCTCAATTCCCCATTATTCTGCCACGTTCCAGTTAGTTTCAACGTGTGACCCGTGGTCCTCTTCGTCTCTCATGACTTGCTCGCCCTTCGCCGTCAGCACATTAACTCCTTTGCAGGTCTGTATTTTTACTTTCGGATGCTGCTCTTGCAGTTTGGGCGCATGTGACTTTCTCTGCGTGCAGCTCAGTCCACTCATGCTGCTTTATACGTTCACATCAACATGCTGACTGTCCAAAGTGAGTCGTTTCCAGTTATGCTTTGTGAAATCAGCTTTGTAATGGGGATTGATTCCATTAAAAGCTTCTCCTTTTCCTTTAGGTGTTTGCCTCTTAAATACAGTTATATAATCAACAATACATTTAAATGAATTTGCTGTTTTCCTGTTTGACTGGAGAAAGGGTTTATCAAGGGCCACTTAAAAACTAAAATCATCCATGGAGCTTTAACTAATTGATAATTAGTTATATATTTGCTATTAATGACAACATCTATTTTTGATCTAATATATCTGATATTATTTCAGAATCTATTTAGTCTATGTAGCATATATATTACGCATATTTACTCGTATCTTTTTTTTGTCAAACCCTTTAGATTGGGAGCTCTTAATATCTCAACATTTGGACAAATACAAAAACACGACTCACTAAATCAACCATAACATAGAATATGACACGTTCGACTTAAATAGAATATTTAATTTATAGAAAATTTTGTTTTTAACGATTTTCTGATCTGACCTACTTGGGACGATCCGTCCGGCAGTAAATTCATTCTGCAAACACCACTAAAACAATTCCTCCCCATAAAACTTTGTTATTATGGAGCAATAGTCATTTTTTTACCATTCAGATATACATAAGCGCATTAACATTATGCACGACTAATGGCGGCTGTGTGAGCTTTGGGGTAAATAATGTCTTTCTTAAGCTGCAGACACAGCTGAGTGTGATCATCAAAAGCCTCGCCGGAGGGATGGCGAGCGCGTTTCGTTGAGGCGACACTTTCTGGGGGTGAATTCTCTAAAACGTGTGATTTCCCCGCTTGGCACCACAGACTGTAATCCAGCAGTGTTTCTGCGGCTCCTAAAACATGACTCCGTCGTTTATACGCACAGGGTTCACTTCACACATCATGTGATACATGCTGTCGATTCCCCATGAGTCATAAGTTACAGTTCCACATGTCTAATGCTCCCGAGTCGTACTCGGTTAGGAGAGAAACGCTCTGTGGCCCAGTTTTCTACTTGTAGTCAAGGATGGAAGCTCTCCATCACGTGATCCTGTGGATGACTGTCTGGGGCGTCCGCGAGACGCGTTCCTCCTGAACTAACCGCCTGATAACAATTTGATTTAGCGGCGTGATAAAAGAAAGAAATGTATGACATCTGGACCCGCAAAATACCTCACAAACATAAAATGCCAATGTATGGTTTAACTATGGACAGAGCGAGGCTTGCGAATTCTTTCCTTCGGCTTCGAACGGAAAAGTCTTAAAGCCGCATTTCCTCTTTTGACCAGCAGGGGGCGACTCATCCGGTCACATCGAAGTCTATGAGAAAATGACTCTACTTCTCTCTTGATTTGTTCCCTCAATAAACATTGTAAACAGGATTTTATGGTCTCAATCTGTAGTTTCAAGTCTTCTTCAATGCAGCATGAAGTTCAGACCATAAAGCACGTCATTGGTTTCTGGAAATTGTGTTTCCTTGGCGCCATCTTGGATTACGGACGAATAAACTGATATTACCGTTTTTACAATCTGGGGCGACTTCAAGACGGCTCTGGTAACAGTGTGGACCTGTCAATCACAGGAAGCCCCGCCCTAAAGCATACTCCGCGTCCATTCTGTTCATACAGCCTGTGGTTAATGCGTTTCCGTAAGGCCACCGCCGTTCTCTGACTCGCTGCGAAAGGGAGAATTGAGACCTGACTACTAGATATTACTGCATCCTGCATGCTGGTCCTTTAATTCACTAAGATGCACATTTATTATTCTCACCATGTTTCGAGTAGCAGATCGGTTGATGAACTGGTCCTTGTTCTTGGGCTTCAGTCAATACAAAAGGAATTCATTAGCAAATAATGTTCTTATATTTTATGAGCATCTGCATTCATGTTTTAGGCTCTGCTTTTTTAATGTACTTGTCAAGCAGTCGTGCTGTTAAATACCTCATTATCTGTGGATGATCTGCTGTGGGATGAGTATTTGGATATGTTAGAAAAAGAAAAAGAGATGGTCTGTGGTGTTTTCACAGCTCAGCTTCTCCCTGTGAGGACTTAGAGAAAGGTTTACATGTGATATGAAGAGGGGGGGCCTGGAGGAGCCTCTGTGGTTTGTGGGACGAGGTCGCCGCTAGCTGTTCAGTCCTCGACATTGCAAGGCGGGTTTTAATTTACTGACTCTAAAGGAAGAAAATGACTACTGACATGACTACTGTCATTAAATAAATAAAATAATATGTGTGAAGAACCAGTGGTGCAATGTAGCCAGGTACCTTTATTCAATCATTGTACTTATTTGAGGTAATTGTATCTTACCTGTCTGACCACATCTCAGACAGAAATCTTGTATTTTTTTACTTCACTAGACTTATTTGAAGGCTGAAAATGTATGGAGAGACTATACAACATCATTATTTTGTTTTAAAATAAACTTCCCAAAGGGTTCCTACAAATGAGGTTGAAAAATGGAAACAATTGGAAACAATTTTGATGGTTTTGTAATGTATAAACATTTGATGGTTTAAGTTTTACCAAGAAAATCCTCTTTCCAGTTAATAATATCATCATTTGTAATGTAATTGTGATTCAGTTGACAGAGCTGCAAACTCTCACGGTTTCGCCGTGTGACACAAACACTTTTGCATGTTTCCACACGTCTAAATTCTCACGCTAAAAAAACAACAAACCGCCGTCGGAAAAATCTCACTCCACATTTTTTTTTTTTAAGTTACCAGCTCTGATGAGGTTTAAACTGTTGGTCTTTTTTAATTGTGCAATAAAAAAAAAGGAAGAGCGTGATTCTTACCACCGGAAGTGACGTACCTGCAGTTGAATCGGCATCACGTGACAGAGGCACGGTCAGCTGATAAAGGTCGGCAGTTGGTCGACAACAAGCCAGAACCGCCCGGTCACCGTCGAGTCAGAGAGCCCGAGACCCGCCGAACCGTCTCGAGATGAGGGGCCTCCTCCTGGTCGTGTTCGCGGCGTTCGCCCTCAGCGGCGACGCGATGGTTCGGTGAGAATATCAACCGCACCTCGTTCTGTGTTTAACGCGTTTGCGCGAGCCTGACGTAACGTCGTGTGCACACAAGTTGATGCTAGCTAGCGTTGCATAAACTAAGTTAACGTTAATGGCCACCTGGAAGGCGGAATATGGTTGCTGTTACTTAGCAACGGCCACTTTAGCCACAGCGAGCTAACGGCTAGCTGCTGTCTCATCCTCGCCCGTCTGCCTGCAGCGAGGACCGCCGCTCACGTGACTTATTAACGGCTTTAACGTGACCTGAGGGTACGTGGGTTTTAAATGTCCTGCGCCTCGCGCTGTGCGTGGTTGCGGGGCGTCGGTTATGCGCGTGCTACGTGCCGTGTGTTGCACATTAAAGCTTCCCGGCTCCTCTTTCGTGACCCGCAGCTGTTTCCGTCACGCGTTTCGCTGCCGTCCGATTGAACTGTAACACTTTGCGCAGGAGTTTGCTCCTGTAATGCTGCGTCAGGCTCACGCGGGGTTCATGTTATTTCTGTGTACATGAGCTCGTTATTCATATTTCACATGACTGTTTTAATACAACCGATTCGTTTGCTGCAGTCTTTATAACACAATTAAAAACTAACTATATCAGTCCGTTCTTTTCTTTATTATTCTGTATGTTTTGTCAAATTTCGATCGTGTCTTAAAATCAAAGATGACGAATGTTATTTTTTTCCGCTTTAAATATTAATGTTAAGCGTTCTGGCGAAGAAGCTTTAAATTAAACTAGAAAATATTCGCGCTTGAAGCTGTTCAACAGCACAATAAACCGTAATGTATATTTCAGGTTGTTTCATTTTAAAATTCATTGGTTTTTAGCTCATTGGAGCAATTACATTTCTGTTTGTATTTAAATATTGACATAATGGGATTGTTGTTGGACATTATAGACGTCGCTCTGAACGAGCCCCCTGTGAGGATAGAGATTAGGTATGTGGGTCAAATCGTATCTGGAACGCCACCAGTTGTGTTTGTACTCTGAAGTTAAGCAACCCAAATCCCACTGCACTTGTTCTTGCTTGTATCTTTAAAATCCCCCTCAATAAAGTCATTGCCTGGAGATCTGGCCCTGGCTTTGTATTCCGTCCTAAATCCCCTTTCTGTTGTTCTTCCCTTTCAGCATCCCCTTAAAGAAATTCCGTTCCATTAGACGCGAGCTGAGCGACTCGGGGAAAACGGTGGAGGAGCTGAAGGCGGAGAAGCCGTCCCTCAAGTACAACTTCGGCTTCCCCTCCAGTAATGAACCCACTCCAGAGGCCCTGAAGAACTACCTGGACGTAAGCATCATAACCACTGACCCTTAGAGGCTTCCTTTCCCCCACCGCCAACCGGAGGGTAGGGGGGGGGCCCATGACAAAGGTCCTCTTGTGCTCAAACCGCCTTTTTAAATATGCAAATCCTTTCTGCAAACGAGGCTTTTTAGGATTCATTCCGGCGGTGACGAATATTGATGATAAAGAGATTAAATGGTTCTTTAGGCCTCTAAAACAAACTGTCAGCTGACCAGTATTGTTAGGCCACGTTTTTCTTCATCACCTTATAGTCTTTAACACAAGTCGGCCTTTGAGAACGGAAGGTGAGCACCACACAAAGTGGTTTCAGTTCTCTGTTGGACGCTTGTAGTAACAATGTGATGTGCGTTGGTATTCCAGCACCTTTATCCCTCATCCTCATCCTCCATGCCCAACCAGTTTAAAACTAACGCAGGAACACAAATAAATCTTGCAGATTGAAGACGTTGCTCGGCAGATAAAGGGGAAGTGCTTTGAGGTCTGCGTGACTCAAAGAAACGTTGCGTCCCGAGGTTTTGACCCGAGTGACTTCTGGTAGACAAAACGGAAGTTTGCCCCAGTTCTTATTTGTTGAGTCACACTGATTGTGAAATCCAACAGTGTGACTTATTGCTGTGACTCGGCCTGTCGCAATATGCGATAAATTGACTTATCGCACACTATCTGAAATCAAGTGCAATCGTTTTTGGTGCTGCGATATTCATTTTACATATTTAAGTTGACCGCTGCCGCGGTCCTCGTTGTGGGGGGCGGGGCTTAGGCAGCATGCACAGACACACCGGCGGGTGGAGAGAAGCAGTGAAGCCACCGTGCTAGAAAAGTTCTCTTTGGTAACATCTACAGCCGAACCCGGTAAGATCAACAAGTCCCAATGGATTTCAAAGGCTCAATGTTTGGCTTCAGTTTGGGAACATTTTTTGCTTTAAGCCGAATGAGAGCGGAGAGCCAATCAACGCGAACGAGCCGGTGCGTCGACTTTTGAAAAACGGTAGCAACGAAAACAGGCAACACAACGAAGCTAAAATCTCACCTCAAACAACAACAACCACCATCCCGCGGGTCTTTAACCTGAACTACAGGCTCGTCCTGTGAAGCTCCCGGGCCGGCCGATTGTTAGCAGGACAGAGACGCTCCGCGGAGCCCCTTACACTTATCACCTTTTTGGTTTTATTTATTCACTTGGGATCATTTTTTCACATTCCGATTCTAATGTCTAAACATTAGACTTAAAACACTTTGTTCTTTGAAAGAAAAGCACGTTCTTGTATTACTTTGCTATTATATTGTCATTGTTATCAGTGGCATAAAATGGTCTGAAAATTGCAATAATATTGCAATAAATGTTGGTGCAATAATCGCACAACAGAAATGTGATATCGTGACTCTTGAATCGGCTGAAGGATTGTGTGTTCTCTCCCGTGGATTCATCTACCGGTTTGTCTTTGTCGTCACAGCTCGCTAACCTGTTCTCTTTCTCTGTCCAGGCGCAGTACTACGGGGAGATCGGCCTGGGAACCCCCCCCCAGACCTTCGCCGTGGTGTTTGACACGGGCTCCTCCAACCTCTGGGTGCCCTCCATCCACTGCTCCTTCACGGACATCGCGTGCCGTGAGTCCAACGAGTCACAATGTGGGCGCTGAGATGACGTTTCTGCCTCGTTGTCTTGATCTGTGCCTCTTTTTCTCTTTTTTTTTTTTTTTTTCCAAGTGCTTCACCACAAATATAATTCTGCCAAGTCCAGCTCCTACGTGAAGAACGGCACCGCCTTCGCCATCCAGTACGGGTCGGGCAGTCTGTCGGGATACCTCAGTCAGGACACGTGCACGGTACGTTTGTACGGCTTGTAATAGTCACGGTTTGGATAAAAAAAAAGTAAAGCTCCTTTGACCATGTGTTATTTTTTAATAACACATGGTCAAATCATTTTGCCGCGGCGTCCTGCATTTGTTTGTTTTGTTTGGCTGTGGTCTAAAAGGCTCCAGATAAAACCGTAATCATCAACAATTCAAAATGTTACCTTTTGATATAGTGACTTTAAAAAAACTAATACATTTAGAAAAGAAATCCGTTCATTAGTATTTCTCATTAAATATTCTAATATTTACAACGTGACACGAGAGGCCGTCGACTGGAAGGCGTTCATGCTGAAGGCATATTTTTACTGAAAATGACCCCGTAACGTTCTTAAGTAGCCCTTTATGTCACTGTTGATTGGCAGCTCTCTGCGCGCTGCACCGTGTTGCGTGTTACTACTTTGCTTCTTCGGTTGCAGATTGGAGACCTTTCAGTGAAGAAGCAGCTGTTCGGTGAAGCCATCAAGCAGCCCGGCGTGGCCTTCATCGCTGCCAAGTTCGATGGCATCCTGGGAATGGCCTACCCACGCATCTCCGTGGACGGCGTGCCTCCGGTCTTCGACAACATCATGAGCCAGAAGATGGTGGAGAAGAACGTCTTCTCCTTCTACCTCAACAGGTGGGGACAGCTGCTTTCCCAGCAGCAGGTGGAGGGCAGAGACGCAAACCGTCTCGCCGCCGGCTGACTGATCCCGGGTCGTCCCGGCGGGGGAGGGAAGCTATCGTAACATTTAGTGGCATTAGAGGACAGATTTTCTCGTTAATGCTCGCTTCCATTTGCTTTCGGGCTCTTTTAAGAACATCTTCTCGTCCTGGGCAACACAGAGAAACGTACGCTAGTGTTTTAGGAACTCTAGATGCGTGTCTTTACTTGGAGTGTGTTAAATGATGAACGTCACTTTATTAATCCCGCTCTTCTCTCTCGCCAGGAACCCGGACACGTCGCCCGGCGGCGAGCTGCTGCTGGGAGGAACCGACCCTAAATACTACACCGGTGACTTCAGCTACGTCAACGTCAGCCGCCAGGCCTACTGGCAGATCCACATGGACGGGTGAGCGTTCCGAACGCTGCCCTTCAGGCACGCCGTCGTAGCCGATCATTAACTAATGCGTGAAGCCAGCACAGCGTCCGCTCCTCATGTCCCGTCAGAGGACGGGTCTCTGCGGTTGGAGCCTTTTCTACAGCTGGTGTAAATTAATGAGCGAACGGAGGTTGTGGGTAAACGAGGAGACTTGAAGAACATGAGATGGCTTTTTCTTCTTGACTTAAAGGAGATCATATTACGCCGTAAAACATCCCAGATCATTCAGTTTATATTTCACTCCGGTGAGTGTGCGTCTTCTTCTTCTCTGTTGCAGGATGTCGGTGGGCGACCAGCTGAGCCTGTGTAAGAGCGGCTGCGAGGCCATCGTGGACACGGGGACGTCTCTGATCACCGGCCCCTCGGCGGAGGTCAAGGCCCTGCAGAGGGCCATCGGTGCGACGCCCCTCATCCAGGGAGAGGTGAGGCACACCAGGCTTTGCTTGTTGGAAGATTAACCACACGCTGACATCACAGTGCTCAAAGAAGCAGAAGAAACTAACTTTAAAAAAATGCATATGTAAATTATATTTATAAATTCTTTACAAATCAAATTACTTTGATTCCACTTTTTTTTGTTTTTCATCCTACAAAGCGATTGTTTTTAAAGTTTAATCAAGTTTGATTTGGTCTGTTGATGCTTTTTTTCCCCCTATTGATCTGAGAAACATTTTTCTGATTTAATCCGTCTTGTTCCATTTGTTTCGTTTCTAATTGGCTGTTGCGTCCTGTGGTGCTTTCAGTACATGGTGAGCTGTGACAAAGTCCCATCGCTGCCCGTCATCTCCTTCAACGTGGGCGGCCGCTCCTACGCTCTGACCGGAGAGCAGTACGTCCTCAAGGTGAGACTCTCCGGGCACCACGGTGGTGCCGCTCCTCCACCTGCAGGGGGCGGCGAGGAGGCGTCTCCTTCACCAACAATAGACGCTGTGTCGACTGAGCGTTGCATCATATAAAAAGCCAAACAGGCGCGGCTTTGTTTGCCCCGCCGGGAGGAGGCCGGCTTGTTGTTGTTGTCTGACGGAACGATTACACATTCCTCTTTATTTAAGAACGTTTGTGCTGCTCCGTCTGACCCTCTTTCTCCCTCCCCTCAATCGTCCAGGTGAGTCAGGCCGGTAAGACCATTTGTCTGAGCGGCTTCATGGGTCTGGACATCCCCGCCCCCGCCGGGCCCCTGTGGATTCTGGGCGACGTCTTCATCGGCCCGTACTACACCGTCTTTGACCGGGACAACAACAGGGTGGGCTTCGCCAACGCCAAGTGAGCGCGTCCTGCTGCACCACCTCCGATGCGAAGGGCGGGGCGGAGTTGTTGAGCTGCACACGTTTTCTGTTGCTTTGCAATCGAGCAGTAATTGGCAATAGATTTTGCGTAGAGGCGAAATGCACTGAGCACAATGATTTCACGCAGTGTGAAACGGTGGTGGTTTGATGTGATGTAGGACGAGTGAAACTGGTTCATTGTGATCGTGCCGCCCCCTTTTTAAACCTAAGTGTTCATTTTTCTTTTTAATCAGGGATTTTAATTTACGTTATTAGGGCCAAGTGTTTGTCTTCTACTGAATTTGAGATGCATCTTGTGTGATTGGCTGGAATAAACAGTTTTTAAAAGAAGCAACTTCTGTCTGGTTTATTGATCAATGAGAACTTGATTTAGGTTTTTCCAACTCAATTCTCTACACTAATCATGAATAAATTGCAATAACCAAATACACACATTTCCCAAAAAAGAAAACCTCTGTTGTGTTTGAGTGAGAAAAGAGATTCAAGACTCAACAAAACCTCAACTTTATTATTCCCTCAATGTACAAAAAGTCAGCTTCACATTAACCAAAGATTCAACCACAAAATTGTTATTTTACCGAACAGTCTCAATAAAAGTAGAGCACATTAAATTTAGTAGATAAACTGTCTTCACATTTTGTTCACTATGAGTTCAGTCTCATCGGCTGACTTCCTGATTCGACTCATAAGAGGATAACGCGTGGTGGTATTTAATTTATAAAAAATATACATGTACTCTAAATGTCCTGAAAACTCCCTTAAACGCAGAAAGGAAATTCTCTTAACCAATTAATTGAATTAAATAATGCAAAACGATCCAGTAGCTGAAATGTTACAATAACACCTTTGTCACCACCTTTATAATAGGCATGCGCTTCATAAACCCAAAAACAAAAATACTATGGTTTTAACTTAATAAATCCTGTATTGTCCCATGGATAAGTGTCTGCCTTAGGCTCCAATTAATCACTTGAACTTCTGGACTAATAACTATCATTCAAACTTCATTATTACTGAAATACTTTTAATGATCTGTTATTCGTGAGTTAAGAACAGAACGCCGCAGCTTGTTTTAATACAGAAGTACCCTGTAAAGTGTTAAATGATTCATTCAATCAATTGCAGCAAACACGTTCAAACATTGACTATTAAGAGTTAATCTGCAGATTAATTAATGGGGAGAAGTTATTTGCAGCCCTGATGTGCAACATGGAAACCGTTCTCTGAATGACGCCTCATCAGAAAGGGACTCGCGGACTGGCTTTGGCTCCGCCCTCAGGCTTCAGTAGTTCTGACCTCATCCAAGTCACTGATTGGATGTGTTGGATGTTTCTGCAAAGAAGTCCAACAAGCAGTGAAGTCTTAAAAAAAACATTTCCATCAGAGTTGGAGGTTCCCAGCACTCGGGAAGACGAGACCATTAATGTGAGTGCTTGACTTTGTGTGTGTTTTGAGCATTTTATAAAGCCTAGGAAGTGTCTTCTAGGTTCTTTTTGGACCTTTCAGTGTGCTGTTGATGTTCTGGCAGCTATTCAGAGGGTTTGGAAGTGTGGTCCTGGACCTCTGAGACTTCCCTGCCGCACGCCGCTGTCTCCGAAACACGACCAAACGGCTCAGTTTTGTTCTCCAACTGGAGTTTGACCTCTGACCTCCGTCAGCCCTCCTCCTCCTGGCCTTCCTTGTCTTTTCCCGAGCCAGCGTTCCCGCGTTCCCGCTCCTGTGCGCTCTGGACCTCCTCGGGCTCTCTGAGCGGCGCCGCCGGGTCCCTGACCACGGCCTCCATATCCAGCTCCTCCTCCGTCTCCTCCGCCACCGGGCTGACGGTGTCCGGGATGATCTCCACCTCGATGTCGGAGGAGTCCTCGCTCTCCTTGAACCACACCGTCTTCTGGCCCTCCTTCCTCCTCTGACGGTTCAGGGCGACCCTCTTGGCGTACTCCTCGTCCCCGTCCCACCTGCCCCTGCGGGACGGCCTGGCCGAGGGGCTCCCCTTGGGGACGTGGTTGGTGTGGACGCCGCAGGAGGAGCATTGACGACCCCGCCTCTCCATGGGGAGGACCCGGCCTCGCGCCTGGGGGAAGGCGCCGCGTCCGGGCGGGCCGTTTGTCAAGCGCCTCGGGTCGCCCTCGGTCTGGAAGCCGTCGTTGGTGTACTGCAGAGAGTCCCTGTGGCCGGACCGGGCCCGGGCCGACTTCAGGCAGGGTGCCAGGCACTGCGGGCAAGGAGACCCTTGTTAGCACAGCGGCTAGCCTTCAAACTTTACTCAACGCCGCAGATGCCACCGTGTCCCCACGCCCCCACACCGAGAGGGCCAAAGGTTAATTTATTCTGTTTACCACAGAGCCCTTCTGTGGATGTTAGCTGATGAATATTCATCACACAGAAGGAGCCTGAGGCCTTAAACCCCCCCCCCCCCCCCACCCATATGGAGGCAGCAGGGGTAAACGCTTCAGAGCGGTTAGAAAGAGGCAGGATTGGGTTTAGATCCAGGATGAAAATTCTTGCATATGAGTATAAAATATTTTAATTTGTTTAAATTCAAGTAAGTTGTAATATGTTATGGTCCCCAAAACTTAAAAGACCGTCACGCCGCTCTCCGTTTAGGTCATACTAGGTGAGACCGTCACGCCGCTCTCCGTTTAGGTCATACTAGGCGAGACCGTCACGCCGCTCTCCGTTTAGGTCATACTAGGCGAGACCGTCACGCCGCTCTCCGTTTAGGTCATACTAGGCGAGACCGTCAAAAAATGCAGCACAAAGAAGAAACGTTTTTAATTGTAAAAGCAAAAGATTTTAACTAACTAAGTTTCTTTGCCTATGAAGACTTACTTTTAGCTATTGAAACCTTTTCACTTTCATAACTCCATTCAACCTACATAACTACTACTTCAATGCAGTAATATGGAATCACATCTTTATTTAGCAGAAAACAAAGAAATGATTCCATTGACATGAAAATACATGAATTTAATACGCATTAAGCATTTGGGCCAAAATTACCTTAAACCCCCTCCCTGCGGCGAGGACTCACCTTGCATATCTTGTCCATGCCGGCGTTCCCTTTCCACAGGCGGGAGACCAGGAAGCCGATCACAATGAGGCAGAGCACCAGCAGCGCCGCCATAACCAGCCCGAGCAGCGCCATGTCGCCCGGCCGGTAGCCCACGCTGGAGGGGGACGGCGTGGCCACCGCTGCGAGGGGAAGGGAGATGTCAAATTTGATCGTTTCATGACGTACTTCAACGAGACGTGTTTTCACATTCTGCACTTTTTTAATCACATTCTGTTTTATTGGCTACGTATCACTTTTTTTACTTACTATGATGACTTTCTATTTTTTAATGACATACTATACTCTGTTTATTACATACTACATTGTGACTTTATGACATTTTTCATGAATTATTTCATGACATTCTGTATTAGAACTTTTAATATGCTTATGTTACAGTCGGTAAGTACAGTAGAATAAACCACATTTCAAGATATTTATATCTATGATGTCATTTATAGTCGATTTTGAAGCCTGACCTCAACATAGAGCGGCGTGACAGTCTCACCTGGTATAACCTAAATAGAGAGCGGTGTGACGGTCTCACCTGGTATGACCTAAATAGAGAGCAGCGTGACGGTCTAACCTGGTATGACCTAAATAGAGAGCGGTGTGGCGGTCTCACCTGGTATGACCTAAATAGAGAGCGGTGTGACGGTCTCACCTGGTATGACCTAAATAGAGAGCGGTGTGACGGTCTCACCTGGTATGACCTAAATAGAGAGCGGTGTGACGGTCTCACCTGGTATGACCTAAATAGAGAGCGGTGTGACGGTCTCACCTGGAATGACCTAAATAGAGAGCGGTGTGACCGTCTCACCTGATATGACCTAAATAGAGAGCAGCGTAACAGTCTCACCTGGTATGACCTAAATAGAGAGCGGTGTGACGGTCTCACCTGGTATGACCTAAATAGAGAGCGGTGTGACGGTCTCACCTGGAATGACCTAAATAGAGAGCGGTGTGACCGTCTCACCTGATATGACCTAAATAGAGAGCAGCGTAACAGTCTCACCTGGTATGACCTAAATAGAGAACGGCGTGGCGGTCTCACCTGGTATAACCTAAATAGAGAACGGCGTGGCGGTCTCACCTGGTATGACCTAAATAGAGAGCGGTGTGACGGTCTCACCTGGTATGACCTAAATAGAGAGCGGTGTGACGGTCTCACCTGGTATGACCTAAATAGAGAGCGGTGTGACCGTCTCACCTGGTATGACCTAAATAGAGAGCGGTGTGACGGTCTCACCTGGTATGACCTAAATAGAGAGCGGTGTGACCGTCTCACCTGATATGACCTAAATAGAGAGCGGTGTGACGGTCTCACCTGGAATGACCTAAATAGAGAGCGGTGTGTCCGTCTCACCTGATATGACCTAAATAGAGAGCGGTGTGACCGTCTCACCTGATATGACCTAAATAGAGAGCGGTGTGACGGTCTCACCTGGTATGACCTAAATAGAGAACGGCGTGGCGGTCTCACCTGGTATAACCTAAATAGAGAACGGCGTGGCGGTCTCACCTGGTATGACCTAAATAGAGAGCGGTGTGACGGTCTCACCTGGTATGACCTAAATAGAGAGCGGTGTGACGGTCTCACCTGGTATGACCTAAATAGAGAGCGGTGTGACCGTCTCACCTGATATGACCTAAATAGAGAGCGGTGTGACGGTCTCACCTGGTATGACCTAAATAGAGAGCGGTGTGACCGTCTCACCTGATATGACCTAAATAGAGAGCGGTGTGACCGTCTCACCTGATATGACCTAAATAGAGAGCAGCGTGATGGTCTCACCTGGTATGACCTAAATAGAGAGCAGCGTGACCGTCTCACCTGGTATGACCTAAATAGAGAGCAGCGTGATGGTCTCACCTGGTATGACCTAAATAGAGAGCAGCGTGACCGTCTCACCTGGTATGACCTAAATAGAGAGCAGCGTGATGGTCTCACCTGGTATGACCTAAATAGAGAGCAGCGTGATGGTCTCACCTGGTATAACCTAAATAGAGAGCGGCGTGACAGTCTCACCTGGTATGACCTGGACGGAGAGCGCGGCGGTCCCAGACTCCCCCGTGGTCGCGTCCACGGCTCTGAGCTGCAGTCACATCCAAACACAAACTATTATACAGCGTTAAAATAAAAAGAAATGTGGATAAAAGTCTGCAAAGATATTCTGTCGTCACCTGAAGAGCAAAGGACTCTGTCTTCACAACTCTCTTTAGGACCACGAACCCGTCCAAGGTCACGTTGACATAGCTGCTGTACTGGACCTCGTACTTCACATCCGGATTGGCCCCCTGACACACAAGCAAAGCACCAATGAAATGGACTAAATCAGAAGGATTTATGGGTGTTGTCATTTAAAGCTACGTTTCTAACCACGTGGAGGGGCAGAATGGTGCAAAATGCTCGGTTGAAAATGGAACATTAATAGAGGTTTAATTAACACTCACGGTGGCAAAGTCCTCGTCCCGAGCCCGGACCCTGAACGGACGGTTGGTGCTCCGGTCCCTGAGGATCATGCTCTCGGGGACGGAGTTGCTGTAGATGAACCCTTCGTACCGCTCCTTCTCAAAGCGAGGAGGGTTCCTGCTCTTCTTCATCACGTCGAAGGTCACCTGCGTCACCGAGAACTGATCCCTGTTGGTGACCTGCGACGCCTGGCGACAGACCAGAGTTACACCCAAGTCCACTTCAGACTTCTGACTTGCATTTACTAAATCACTCAATTTTTACTTTTAATTTACCAGAACGGTGAGAGTTATTGGGCCGACGATGTCGGCAGCTTTAGCCATCGAAATGTTTCCCGTCTCCTCGTCAATCTGGAAAATATTTCCCTCATTTCCTGATGACCAATGAAAAAACAATATCAATCAGTTTACAGGTCCTTAAGATTTAAGCTTTACCAAAAGGTTAACGATATTGAAAAGTCAGAAGTCAGATATTTGGTGATGAAAGTGGAATGAAAAAAAACAAATGAATTTGAAGTCAAACCTCGAAGGATTCTGTAGCTGATCTGCTCGCTGCGGTTCTTGTCTCCGTCCCTGGCGAACAGCGGGCCGGGCTCCAGCACCAGCGGCCCGTCCTGAGGAGTAAAACCATCACCACTGATTCTGAGGAGTCACGCGCTCCACTGCCTCATCTTTGACTAAATCCATAGTCTCATTGCCTCGAGAGCAGATACAATAACGATGTTCCTCAGATGATTCCGATACTTTCCTCGGCTCAGATCTTCACTCACCTCAATATCATGGACTTCATTTGGCTTTTGAGGTGTTTCGGGGATCTCAAAGGATCTCACTTTGGAGTTTACAGATTACCTTGTGTGTGTGAAGGGAAACGTGTCAAATGAAGCTGCAGAAGACGTGGCTCACCTCCTTCTCGGTGAGATTGACTTTGCCTCTGTAGCCGGTGCTCACGCACAGCTTGGCGATGCCCGAGCTGGTCCTCAGACACGGCTGAAACCAGGGAGGCCGGTTGTCCACGTCCCTCACCTGCACCGTGATGGTGGCCACGGACGTGAAGAAGGGCCGGTCAGAGGCCGAGCCGTCGAGCGTGTCCTGGAACGCGGGGACACGTGTGCACGGGTCAAAGGCCAAAGGTCACAGAGGAGGCGATGTTACTCAGAAACGGAAAGCGTACCTGCACGTGTAAAACCAGAGAGATCTTCTGTACGACGTCGTAGTCCAGGATGCTTTTCACAATTATCTTTGGAGTGTTGATGTTTTCCAGACGGAAGTATTTATCCTGGTTTAGCAAACGGGAAAAAACAAGGAACGAATGTATTTATATAGATATAAAAAGATTTAAGCCAATAAGGGTAATGAGCCTCTTTTAATCTAAATGTATAGTGACTTAAAAATAAAATAAATTAAGGCAAATAAAAAACTTTTTTTTACTTTTTCACCGGATGTTACATTATTTATTTGCAGCATTGTTTTCCTGAAGGATTTTTCCAATAGTCAACTTAGTCGACCAGTTGACCAAACATTTCTTTGGTTGAAGGTTGACGTCCCCAGGTGATGAATAATGTCATGAAAAGTCGCAGTATAGGATGCCATGTGAAATAAGAAGGTGTAATACAGCGTCCAGTAAACGTACAGTATTGAAGAACCTTTCAGTCCTCTGTAATAATAAAACCTTTGGGTCACAGCGTCATCACATCAAACGTCTCACCGTTGCCGGCTCTAAGCGATAGAACAGCGGCTCTGAGTCCACGTCGGATGCTTCTATCAGTCCCACGCTGGAGTTCACTGGAGTGAGCTGCAGGAGACAAAGCCTGCGTTCAGACCACGCACACACACACACTAACACACACACTCACACACACACACACACACACACACACACACACACACACACACACACACACACATGTGTGAAACACAACCTTACCTCGTTCACTTCCAGGACGTAGTGGCTTTGGGCAAAGTTCGGGGGGTTGTCGTTCTCGTTCTCGACCAAAACCTCGACGGACTCGTTCACCTGGAATGGAAGAAACGAAGGTGGACATCCATTCAGTTCCTTTCAGGTGAAACAAAGCAGATCAATGAGCGTCAGTCAGGGAGCTTCATCTGTTTGCAGTCTCTATGCTAAGCTCATAGCTGACTCGGGTGGTTGGTTCTACTCACAGATCTGGAGCCTCCTTTGCTGCACTGCACCCACACCGTCAGAGCCGCGCTGTGCAACGACTGACAAACACACACACGGTTAACACACGCCAGCCTCCGCCAACGGGCTTTTGTTCTCTCGCCTGCATTCCGGGATTCCTGTGATCTGCTGCAGTTTGTTTCGGTTTTGTTCTAAAGTGGATTTGTTTCTAATCTTCACGCTGTTGACGTCGGGGTGTTTTAAAAGTCCCATAATAAATGACTTCAACCGTTTACTTGATTTATCACCTCAGTAAACAATCTCTATAAATCATAATCACATTCTGTGTATTAAATGATGAATTTGGCAGCAAATAGAATAATGATATAAATAAAAAAACATTACAGTCGGCAGAAACGGTTTCCTGTCACTCAAATCAGGACGCAGCATGAATGCAGATGTTTTTCACCTGCAGGTGCTGGTTAAACAGGAAACTGCTGCTCTGTGCACGTTCCTATAGAAATCTATATAAAAATGACTCTACTGAAGTTTGGTTGATTAAAATGTCCTATTTTAGCTCCTCCCTCTTGTGTCAAAATCCAGTTGCATGAAAACAAGATCACAAAACTCGAGACCTCAAATCAGCCGCCAAAATTCCAGCTGCCGACATCGACTACTGACGCTGCTTCGTCGCCGTGGGTTTTGCACTGTGATCACCTCGTAGTCCAGTCCTTTCTTCGCCATCAGGGCGTTTCCTTTCAGGTAGAACAGGTCCTCCGGGTTGACCGTGACGCTGAGCGCGACCTCGGCCCCCGAGACGATCTTCACCAGTTCCACGTCGGCCGTGTTGTTCTCCGGCACCGCGACGGGGCCCGGAGGAACCGTGCACACTGAGTGAAGACATCGCCATAGACGTCAAGGGGAGACAGGACGTGGGAGCCTCGTGAGGTTTTATCAAATGATATGAAGATTTGAGGAAAGGAAGATGCTGATGTAATACGGTTATTAACAAGTTTAGTGGATGTACTGCACTTCAGCACTCAATCAGATTAAATATTGTAAATAAGTACATTTACTAAACAATCATGTATCGGTACTTTACTCGTCACCGCTTCCTACATCGGATTCACAACGTCTCACAGGGAAAAGTTTTACTTCTTACTTTACTTTGACAACTTTAATTAAGATTTTACAAAAGTCTAGAATATTTATTTTCAGTCAACTTAAAGTAAAAACTTCCCGGCTAGTTGATTTTTGTGGCAGTTTGAACATAAACGTATTTGCGATCTGCACATCTGAGTCCAGTAGGAAGTCATTTAGATTCATTCCCACGTTCCCCCTCAGCAAATAAGGCCCAAAACAACAACCGTAAACTTAATATTATACTTAAAGGGATCATTTAGTATTATGAGGAAAAGGCGTTACGTTGATATAGATGAGGAGACAAAGTCCAACTTGTTTGCTAAATGCAAAGCTACTAAAAGCCTTAGTTAGCTTAGCTTAGCATAAACACCAGAAGCGGGTGTAAACTAGCCTGTCTGAAAATTCAAAACTTTGTCACATCGTGAGCTCACAAATGCACGAAAGAGGAAAATAGCAAAAACGTGCAAAGCACAAAAACAACTCAAACTAAGTATAGAATAAATATCAATAAAATAGTCAAATCAAACCTCAGAAAAGATAAGAAGCTCGAAATTAGCAGCAACGTCACACGAGAAACCGGATAAAAAGATTGAAGCGCATTAAAATCTTCAGTTAGCAGCTTCACAACATTTGTTGCCGTAGGACTTTGTTGTCTTGTTTTTAATTCCCCGTCACGTCAAGGAAGAAACTTTCAGACTTGAAAGCACTGAAAATAAATCCGTCCTCTGAGCCCTTTTACAAACAGGCCCCAGATTGTAAGTGGAAATAAACAGATACTATGAGATTAAGTAAGAATATGTGTGTTTTTGTGGTGAAATACTTCTGCTTTGACCTCTTCGGGCCTTTAAAAACACGCTTTTCTCTTCTCAGGAATCACAAGCGGACACATAGAGTCCACAAAGGCCGCGGACAACTGCTTCATCGAGGAGGACCAGAAGCAACAAGCATCTCCCGGCTCTCCCAATCCTCCTCAACGCCCCCCCCGGCCCCCCCAAAGGCCGCCTGTCGGCCTCCCCTACTCACGTCTCTCGGCCCCACAGACGGCACAGAGGCAGACGGCGAGGACGCATCCGAGGACAGCGTCCGCAGGTTGTCTCCTCCGTGTCGGTTCCATGTCCCGCTTTCAAGAAGGCAGCAGCGAATGAAGTCCCGGGTGGGAGGACGGGGAGCCCGTGGTACCAGCTGGTACTCGTCCACATAAAGGCCCGTCTGTGCTGCCCGGCGAGTGGGAGTCGACTACAGTCGCGATGTTTGTGACTTCATCTCCCGGGCGCATATGGCATTAAGCGCCTGCCAGCAGAGGACCCGAGGCCTCCTACTAGAATATCTGCATCTGTTTTAGCCCGACGGGTCTATTCTGTATCGGTGGCCCCCCGATGCATTCTGGGAGGAGTCCAGCGGGGATTTCTGGATGCTCTTCAGGTTTCAAGGTGTAAATAAATACAGACCTCCTCTTACACCTCGCTGACCTTCTGACATCCGGCAAAAATCTTCCTGATAGCTTTGATCATTTCCATTAGATATGTGGACATGTAGCTTTCAAAAGACGTCTTTGGCTAAAATACATCTCCTATTGTTGGCTTCAATGAACAGGTAGTAGTGTAACGTGTAGCATACCGTTAGTGAAGAGCATGTGTGCTTTAAACGTGCGTGACGTGTCTGTCTCTACGGAAAATGTCAACTGAACAATGTGAATGTAACTTAAACGAGGACAGAATACACACAAGTTGCCTGCGTTAGAACATGGCAGCTAGAAGCTAACAGCGCTAACAACGGATTCACATTCATTACTCAATAGAAGTACAGATACTAGGGTTTAAAAAGACTCCTGTAGAAGTTTAAGTACCAACTCAAGCTTTTTACTTAAGTAAAAGTATAAAAGTACTGGTTTCAAAACTACTTAAAGTATAAAAGTAATGTAATAAATTCCATTAAGGACAAACTCTTAACGCGTAACCTCGCTCACACAACACGTCAGTCCGTTACAATGTGATCAGAAGGCGTCTGCAGATCACGTGACCTGCCGTTGGGATGGTGGAAAAATGGCGACATTCAGAGACACGACAAAACAACACGTGTATCTGACTTAAACAGATAAAACCACAACCCATTTTCCAGTGACACGAGTCACACACACACACACACACACACACACACACACACACACACACACACACACACACGTTGTTCGCATCGATTAGGTAGACTGCAGTGTCTCCCCCCAACGTGATCTCCAAAACCTGTTTGTAAAAATGTGTACGAAAATGTTGAACTTACAAATTCGTAACAATACACGGGAACTGGCGGTGGTTGACCACGCCCCTTGAGTGAACAACATGGCGGACCATGTCGGATTCTTGAGTGAACGTCTCTCCGCCATGTTGGATTTTTTGAGGGGGTTAGGGTTAGTATTCTATTCTTACAAGTTAACATTAATTTCTCGTTAAAAATGCAATCATAACACGTTTATTTCACATTGTTAGACTTCACGAAGTGTGTTTACGGGGCGCAGGTCCCCGTTCACTTTGAATAGGGTGACGTCATCAGTTGCAGTCCGTATTTATTTCTTATGTATCACTACGAATTTGTATGTTAAAGATTTTCGTATACATTTTTACGTAAAAAACACCAGTTTATAATGATGGGAAACATTGAACTGGCAGCGGTCGGTTATCAAAACATTGGCCAAATAACCATAACGTGTTCAGGCTTTATGAGCGAATACAGAATCCCTTTGTGTTCCTTTCCAAAGCCGCATTAAGACACACGTCACTTTATTTAATACGCTGCTTGCAAGTCGCTGTGTGCCAGACTCCCAATCAAACATTTAAGACAAACCCACGGCCATGAAACTCATCTAATGGAATCTGCGTGAGGAAGAGGAGGAGGAAGAGGAGGAGGGTCCGTGTCGCTAAATACCAACTTTCCACCGACCACTTTTCCCACCCGGTGTCACTCCGATCTGCCGGCGCATCGCGGAGAAAACCAATCGGGTGTCTGGATGCTCAATGTTTATACTTCTCATCCAACCACAATCACGTTCACTCTGTCCGCATAGCGCCGTTTATCTGGAGAAGCCGGAAGTAACGAGACTGTTTTTAAAATGTAAGTAGAAGTAAAAAGTAAAAATAAATACTCCAGTAAAGTTTCTACTTTACTTGACACCTCTGCCTAAAATACTTTGAGATTTGGGGCCAGCACTTTCCCGCCCTACGCTGAGTCTCGCGACGCGCCCATTTAGCACCATGACAACGGCGAGCAGTGTCCCTCCGACAGGACCGGACCCGGACTCGGTACGTTCTCTCCTCAAAGAGCCGTTTGACGGAACAACTTTCGCGGAGAAACTCGAGGTGAAAGAGGTGGACCGGGATCAGCCAGACCTCACGACCAGACAACGGACCGGTGTGAAAGGGAAGCCGAGGCTTCTACGCCGGGAGGTTTAGCTAGCTAGTTAGCTACGTGCTAACCGCCGGTCCGCATGACGTCACCGCGCTAAAGTTAACATCGCTGCCCAGCTGCGACGCACACAGGACCGCGGTGAGGACACACAACCAGGACGTGGATGAAAACGGGCACTTTTTAACCAAAATAGTTAATTGTGTGAAGTTTTGTGGGGCTTTTGAGTTGGTCTTTCCTCAACAAACTAGGTTCATAGGTACATCTAAATATATACGTATATATACACATGTTCTAATTTTATAAAAATATATTTATACTATAATATATATTTATATTTGATATTTATAGTAGTCATGGTAGTTGATAAGATAATAAGTTATGATAAGTTATATTTATATATTCATTGATGTACTGAAAATTATTGAATAAGATAAGCTGTCCTTATTATGTTAAACTGTTTATTTAACTGAAAAGTAATGATGTGTATTTGATACCCTTTTTTGCGTTGAATCATATGGGGATGTTTACTGAAACTGATTGGCTGGCAAAAAGAAAACCCACCAGCCGCCACCGATGCACATAAATATACGTAAGTATACGTATGAAGAAGGCCGTCGAGGCACCGGAGGGGGGTTGTGATACGCAGACCATCCGCCTGACCTCTGGCCGACATCTGATTTAAGGGGCATGTATCAAGGGCATCCTTTTTTAATTTGGTACAACCGATTTAATAAAGAATAGTTGATAGCTTAAGTAATTAAGTAAAGTAAGTAAAGTCATTTAAGAACCTTTTAGGCTGTCTTGTGGCTGATGTTTTTTTTATCACTATATAGATATTAGGCTGCAAAGCCATTGTATTATTGTTTGATTAAAATTAGGGTTTTTGAATCGCTCTTATTCTGGACTCTCCCCTGAGACCTGCTGTCCATCGCACAAGGTGCTTGTGCCACAGACAACACAGATCACAGGATCACTGAGCCACTCATTTTTTTTTTTATGTGGGAAACCTATAGATGGAGGAAAAACCCACAGTTGAACCCAATTCGATTTGTGTTTTGTTTTTTGTTTTTTAATGGGGGAAAATGGGGGGGGCGATTTTCAAAATTAAAAATTAAAAAATTTAATATAACTTTTTAAAATAAAATAAAAAAATATAACTTTTTAAAATAAAATAAAATATAACTTTTTAAAATAAAATAAAAGAATAAAACATAACTTTTAAAATAAAATAAAACTTTTTAAAATGAAATAAATCAAATATAACTTTTTGGCATTTGAGGACCCAACTCCTCATTCAATCTGTAATCATGAAAATGGGTATATTTTATTCCCAGTGCTCCAGTAAGTGTTTTCTTCCAACTTCATTGACTGGAAAGTAGCGGAGCACAGCGGCTGAGGAATGAGGAATCTTTTTCATCTCATCCATTTCTTTCTTTGGCGAAATGCAAGGCCGCAAATGAAGATGAGGGGATTTCTGTATCTGCGCATATACATATATATAGTTCTACGGTATTCAGTTAAATTATATTAGAAATATGGAATACGATGCTATTTTATTTTAGTTCTACGGTATTAAGTTGAGTTATATTAGAAATATGGAATACGATGCTATTTTATGATATTAGTTCTACGATTTTAAGTTAAATTATATTAGAAATATGGAATACGATGCTATTTTATTTGAGTTCTACGGTATTAAGTTGAATTATATTAGAACTATGGAATACGATGCTATTTTGTTTTAGTTCTATGGTATTAAGTTAAATTATATAAAAAATATGGAATACGATGCTATTTTATTTTAGTTCTACGGTATTAAGTTAAATTATATTAGATGTATGGAATACGATGCTATTTTAGTTCTACGGTATTAAGTAAAATTATATTAGAAATATGGAATACGATGCTATTTTATGATATTCGTTCTACAATATTATGTTCTGTGGTATTGGAAAAATAAAGTATAAAGCCATGTCTCCTATATTAGTTCTACTATATTATGTCATATCAGTGTTTCCCCTAGATTTCCAACTTTGGGGGGGCGGAGGTACCGGAGGGGGGCGTGGGTGTTGGGGCGCGCCAGGGGATATAATGGTAGGGAAAACACTGCATATGATATTAAGTTATATAATTTTAGAAATACTAAGTATGATGCCATGTTTGCTAGTGGACTCCATGACAACGGAATGCAAAATACAACAAAACTCACTTTGTGTGGTTTTATATATACACATTATATATATATATATATTAGGGATATTTATATATATTAGAGCGGTCTATGTATTTAAAAAAAATCACTAATTCATCTTACTCTAGACTAATCACAATATTGCTTTTCTTTTAAAGACACTGAGGAGTGAAATATTATAAACGTGATGAGGCCGATATATAAAGTCCCATTCACCTGTGTGTCTTCCCGCACCGTGATGCCCATTTCTGAACCACGTTTTGGATGAAGAAGCACTGATGTTGAGACGTGCTTTCAGACATGAGAGGATGTTTTGGACAGATCAGACCAGCATGAAGCCATCTCACCATCCCACACATGCTCCGTATGGCACGGCGCTTTTTTGCAAGCGGCGTGGGTTTATATGCCGAACCTGTAAATAAAGGCACTATTTGCCGTGCTGTAAGAAGTGTGTGTTTGGCACTGTAGTCCTTGGCACACATCTTTATTACCTTCCCGGGCCTCAGATGAATGTGTCACATCAAAGAAGATTTCCACAAGACAGTCCACATATTCCGTGTAAATGGGTGATTGTGTTTGATGTTGTGAGATGCATGTAATGGTAAAATACGTTGTGCTAAACCCGTGTCTCAAGTCTCCGTATTTGACCCTGACGTGCAAAGAGCAGCATGATACAAAATGTTGGTTTGCAGCTGTGTCCTGAGAAGGCCTCGATCTCGATCTCATAGACGCTTCGATACAAGGGACTTCTGTTCGTGGCCTTGGTTCATATCCTATTTGCTTCTCGTACCTGGCACTGAGGATGGTCTTCACATGTGTATAAAAACTCAGCGTTTTTACCGCTCGGAGACTTTACACCGAACGCTGAAATACGTGCTTGTGTGTTCGACCTCCTGCTTGCAAGCAATAGTTAGAGGCAGATATCTGCGGCGAGTTGCTCATGTCATCTTTTTCTCTTCTAAATAAATGTTAACTTTTTTACTTTAATTGATCAACGTGTTGTGATCCTTCTCAACCAACCAACTTGGGGGGATCGGAGATCCCGACAATGTACTGGAGAATGTAGCACGTATGAAGAGGGCAGGTTCTGCAGGTGGAACACAGTCAGTAGCTGTCCCACCCTGGACCCCTTCCATCACAGGCCTGCCTTTTCCTCAGCCGGGGTGAAGCCTGGTGCTGGTGCCCCCCGCCAGACAAATGAGCCCTCTTAACTGCTTAAATCAGTTTAGATCAAATGTTCTTAGAAGTTATTTCTACACCATTTGCAAACTGAGCACTTATCAACTGGCCAAATGTTTTTATATTTTATCTTGACCTGTTCCAGTCTCGTTTGTTCTGTATGAAGCTTAATTGTAGAAAGATATTTAGAATTAGACACCGTTTATAGAGATTTGTGCATATGGTTGTAAAACATTCTCGCATTGTGAATAAGGGTTTGAAATGAGTCTTTAAGGTAAATTTCCACAGGAAGATGAATTCCCTCTGCTCACTTTTAAGGCAAAGTAGGATAAATAATAATACTATATTGTATTTATATAGTGCTTTACATGGTAGGCTACTCAAAGACACTTTACAGTAAAGCCAGCACATTTAGCACATAAACACAGATATAAAACCAACACGTAGAAAAATCATATTAAAAGCCAATAAAACAGTCTACAACTTTCCTAGCAAGTACATATTTTAAAATCCTTTCGCATTCAGTCGGTCCACGAATGTTTGCCTGGTTTTTTCTCTTTGTTTAATTACAGCTGCAGCTCTTTATTTTCTTCCTTCTTGGCTTCAGGTGCAGTCAGGATGCAAAGCTCAACATATGTTATCAGAATTTGCTAGTTGGCATGTTCATTATGCAGCCTTGTTGTGCCTGCAGAAGAGTTCACATCACGTACTGATGGCTAAAAAACATCACTAAACACAGATCAAACAATGCGGTGAGCCTTACAAATCATAGTGCTCTTTGCACTGCAGGCCTGAGATGGAAATACTTTTACCGTGATCCAAATAATTGCCTATGAGAGCAACATGGTCCAGGTCATTCCTCCTGTTTCAAGTCGTTGTGCTCAGCCTCCCTCTTCGGGTTCAGTGCATGGATGTGTGTTATTAACCCATCGCCTCTTAAGTGCATTCCCCACAATGTGGTTCCATACCTTTTAAATAGAGACGTTCTTTTTAAATCAGAAATCCATGTGGTATAAATGATACAGAGCTGTCCGTAGTTATTGTGTGACTTCCCTTTTCCTGAGGTGTATTTTTAGGGTGCGTGCTCAGATCCAGAGGCCTCTGGCACAACAACGTTAGTGTTTCTAATTGGCCCTAATGTGACGTTCTCCCTGCAGGAAGCACTTAGCGGCACGTCTCAGGGTACAAACACTTCCCTGTTTTCCACCAATTTAAGGAGCGCGAAACACGGCGCGAGCGGAGAGAAAGAGGGCCGATTCATCCGGAGGCCGCGGGGGCACAGAGGTGGACCGGTGTGTGTCTGAGGGGTGGAGGCGCAGAGGATCCTTAAAAGAAGCCCATTCAGTCACGAGGGAACTCTGACGCCACGCGCAACCCAACCCAACCCAACCCCGGTAGGGCAAATACAAAAATAACCGGCAATTCATCTTATTCCGATGAGTCGGCGTCCTGTTTGGCCCGCCGAGGGGGTGAAAGACTGGATCGTTGTCCGTACCTGGGACAGCCTGGGTGGTGAAGGCTGCAGTCCGTCAGTTACGAGGGGTTTCACACCCTGCGAAGGCCCCGTCCCGCGCCCCCCCCTGCTGAAGGAACGGAGTCATAAAGGTTTCAATGAAAGAGGTTTAATTTGTCCGGTTCGATGTACAAACACCCGCGTGAGGATGTTTTTTCCTTATTTCACATATTTATCGTTTTTGTATCAGTTTCCTGAATTCATTCCTGAACACTGCGTCGTTCCCAAAATGACACTTTTCACTAAATGCAATCGACCGCTTTCTCGTTCATGCGCACCGGTCCTGACTTTTATTTGTCAATTAGGAACCTTTTTTTTTAGTGGACTCACATTTAACGCAACAATCAGAGCTAGTGATGTGCAATTAAATACGGAACGCTCCCCTTGTTGCAGAAATGTTGACATCTATTTTGTGTTGTGTGACCTCTCATGTGTCTGTTGTTTTTCCCTTAACCCCAACTAAGTAATCAGTGTTTTTCTTTGAATTCACAAAGTCACCATGAGTTGTGCTCAGCGGACACGTGTGTCTCCATGTGTCTGAGTGTCTGAGTGTCTTTGGTTTATTATGCAGCCAGTGAGATAGAATATGATGAAGCGGGCACAGCCCCCAAAATACAGAAATAATAACACAAAACAAGAGCACACATGTAGGCAGCCGTACTGACAGACACACTGTGCACGGCGCAGCATCGTCCGGGGGGGAGGCGACAGAGCGGTGGGGGGGGGGGAGCACTTTGTCCTCTGCAGACTAGATATGAGTCTCTGTCCGTGAAATCAATAAATAAAAGGACATAAAGTCTCTGTTTGAAACAAGTAATAATTTCCAATCGCTGTTACTAATGTAAAGATAATCTACTTGCTGTTCCTGCTTCCACTGGTCTGCTGCAGTCAGGCTACTTTAACCAAAATGTGTCTCCGTTGAACCCACTTCACAGGACTGAAATAATCCAGGTACCAATAATCCTGAAACCTCGGAGCGTCCCGCTTCTTCTTGCGATGATTGTGGGGGATGTTGTTCCATGATGTGTTATCAGAGGAACGAAGGCGTCTTCACAAAGACACGTCTGACCTCAAGGATGCAGGAAGCGGAGACAACGCACACACACACTCACACACACATACACACACACACACACACACACACACACTCACATGGCGGTGTTCTTCTTCTGCCCAGAAATAAAACCTCTACAAAACAAAAATGACGCTACAGTTCCACACGATGCAAATAAACAAGTATCATATGTGATTCAAATATATTATGAGGGACGGGGGATGGAAACAGGAAGTCGCGCTCCAACGATTCTGGTCACTGCAAATGTTCTTAAATAATTTGTTCCTCTTCTTTCTTTCTTTCAGGGAAGCTCGCTGCTCCTCCTCTGTCTTCTCTGTCTGGCTTTCACTGTGACGCCGGGAGACACAAAGAAACACCGGTGAGTTCAGAGAAGAAGAAGAAGAAGAAGACGACGACATGCGTCCTCGCCCGTCTCGGAGGCCTCACCGTCAGTACACTGCACTCGGGGCTCCTCCCACCGGCCGTCGGCCTTGCAGCGCACCGTGGGGGGGCGGCGCTGCGTGAACCCGGGGCCGCACTGGTACCGGATGATGGAGTTGACGGGGTACTCCTCCCTCCTGTTGCCAAACATGCGGGCGTTCTCCACCTCCGGCGGGGCGCCGCAGGACACTGAGGACGGAGTCACGTGACCAAACTTCTCTTTGAGATGGGTTTGCTCTCACAAATCTCCTTCAGGGGCTCTTATTCATCAGCAAACGGCATTCAGAGGCTCATTGACCCCGGGGTCGTCCACCTACCTGGGCCTTTCTTGCAGGTGAAGGGCAGGTGGTAGTTGCAGGGCACGTCGTTCCACTGGCCGCTCTCGTGCCAGATCATCACCACGCAGTCCTCTCCAGAGTCGAAGTAATTATCCGGCTGGTTCGGCCTCCAGTTCTCGAATTGCTGAAGCGGAAGAATCGGTTCATGGTTTATCGGTAAACGTGTTTAACTACAAAGTAAATGTGGAAACCAAACAACCACAACGGCTCATTTCTCCACCGCTTCCAAACCGGTCTTCCGTGTTTTGGCCCGGAGGTCCAGTGCGTCGTCTCTCTGGTACCCGGCGTGTTGTTTTAAACACAACGCCGTCCTCACACGAGCTCCCGGCCGGAAAGTCCATTAATGTTTCTGCTTGCACCTGTTTTTTTGTACCTTCTGCATAAACCCGCTTGTGTTGCGCAGTGCAGCTGAGGTGTTGTTTATGGAGCAATGTTCTGTTTTTGTATTTCACCCGCTCAGACATCGAAAGTGAGACACGCACAGACAATTTCAAAATCAATAAACAATGTGTCTTTGTGCTTGTTTTGAAGTATCAAAATAAAACCTTGCAGGAGAGAACAAACCACCTGCAGCCGGGAACAACCACACTACCCCTTCTATAATAAGATATACTAAACTATACTTTCCTCTTCCTGTACAGGGAGCAGCACACAAGCAGAACAAAGCCCTCACTCACCAGTGGAGTCCCGTCCGTCCAGCGGAAGTCATTATCTACGGTCTTGTCGTTCAACCCGATCCACTGGTAGTCCTGTGCGTTTGCTATTGAAAAGAAGAACAGAAAAAAGGTATTGAGGCTTTGGTTTTTCCTCCGTGACGACAAACACACCTCTCGTGCACTCACAGTTGACGAAGTCTTGCTCCTCTGGCGTGATGATGCTGACCAGGTGGCCGCCGAGGTCCCGGCAGCGCTGCTCGGCGTCCAGCCACACCTCCCGGTCGGAGAAGTGCAGGTAGCAGTTCCCCTGGAACTTGGTCCAGCCGTCTTCACACCGCTGCTCATCTGCAGCGGCAAACACCAGAGAGTCAACAGCCAGCCAGCGCTGATCGCACCCTCTCGCTTAAATGGTTGAGTATATATCTTTTGCATATTTTTTTAAGGGCCTCAAGACACTCAGGCAACCACGACCGGGTTGGAAAGCTAAAGCACAACATCTGATGATGAGAAGCCGATCTGCATTCTCATCATTCTGTGTGTGATGCTGCTCACGACCCACGTCGTGTTTCTGTTTGAGTTAAATATTCACAGCCTGTCTTGGTGAAGGAGCGTATGTTGTCTGCTTGCAATGCCCTCTGACGCGCAAAACAAACGTCCCCTTGCAGAATGGAAAACTGCGCACAATGCTTCACTTGAGCGGGGAGAGCCCAGCCCAGCAGTAATGTTATTGCCAATTTACCCCCCCCCCCCTTTTTTTTGTGCTTTTACTGTAACATTCAAAGGCTTCATTCATTTTGTTACTCCACCTTGATGACTATTTATTTTAAACGGTCAGTTCACCCAGATTACGTAAAAAGATATTTTCACACTCACCAACCTTCTGTCACAAGAAACCTTAAAGGACAAACACCCCGTCCCCCAGAAAGGACCATTACTGGATCACTTACTCACCCAGTGTTACTTGAGTTCTTGTGTAAAGTGTAATTTTAGTAACCTCATTATTTTGTGGCTGAGTTTAACAGCCAGAAGTTGGTTATATTTCAAAATATCTCAAACACACTCGGCCGGTAAAATACACGTTTTTAGTGATTGAGGGTGAACCGGCCCTTTAGTCGCTTTTACTGGACCCACATGGACCCTTTGTACAGCCAACCTCATGACTGTGTCTCATCATAAGATGCTCCACCCACAAACAACCTGATCATGAGCTTCTTCGGGCCGCCGGGAACCGATGCTACCAGCTGGTGATATTTAGCATCTCCATCGCTCTCGCTCTCCTCGGTTGTTTTTGAGAGGCTGCTGTTAGTATTGATTAGCTGAAGCTGATCTCATACCAATCTCACATCGCTCCCCTCCGTAGCTGGGCAGGCATAAGCATTTGTAAGAGTCTGCGCCCTCCACACAGGTGGCTCCATTGGCACAAGGGTTGGGATGGCACACGTCTACCTCTGCAAGAAAGGGGGGCAGGTGACACTACGGCAAAGCTGTGATAGAGGGACTATCACACCTCGGGACTGACAGGTTAGTGAACAATACTGTAGCTGCTGCAACCTCCGATGGAAATGAAGTCTTACTGCACACTTTTGATGAAGCGTATTACTTCCGCAGAAATATACAATTCTACACCAGAGAACAACTAATAATGATAATGTCTGCAGTGAGAATATATATTTGAATCCTTGGTTGCAGCAGGGGAGCAGTAGTATTATCCAGCAGGATGAAGGCACCCATATGGTGCCAGGAAGCACATATGTGGCCGCGGGGTTAAGCATGCACACAGCAGAGCGGAGGCGACGCACCGGCACAGCAAACCAAAAACAACACGTAGGCTGGAAGACAATTGTGAGGAGACGTGTGACACAGAAGCTGCGCAACCTCCGAGCAGAGCTGATGCGTATTTGACGAGCCTCCAAACATTCAGAGACCCGCCGACAGATGGACAAAACGAACACATGGACATCAAGGGAACACTGAACGCAATGAAATGATGAGACACAAAGAAGAGCGGGGAGAGAAAACAGATGTTTGGTAAGTCTAGAAATACAGATTTATGATATGCAATCACAAACAGTTAAATAAATATCTGAAACTGACAAGCTGATTAATAAACAGAATGCAGACCAACCTTACAAAACATGCAAAGTGCTCAACGACAAAACCAAAACATCATCACACAATATTGAATTCGCTGGTTTTCAGGGAAAGAAAATAAATGTATTCATTTTGAGTCTTACCAGGGCACAAAGCGACACCTTCCTCCACTGTGCATAAAGCAGCACCGCAGGGGTTCGGGTTGCACGGGTTCAAACCACCTGCAAAAAACAGGGGGAAATGATTCAAAGACACAGATACTTCTTTCAAGAGACAGACGAGTCAATCTGAACCGGAGTACTGTTGAGACTTTCTATATGTATATAAGGACAAAGGCCTCCGAGGTTTCCATTATCACAAATTACAGTATCATAATTACACGTAGGCCAGAACAGCCACTGCAAAGTCCTTACAAAAATAAGATAATATAATGTGGTTTTATGTCTCCCTGTTAACCCTCTGGATTCAAATATTCAGATAAGTTATTTGTAGCCATTCTTTCGCATTATTTGGGGGATCTCCTGGCACCTCATTCAAGTTTCTGTAGGTAAAGGAGGAGGTATTGCAGAGATTTAAGTTTGCCCAAGTATGGCGGGTTTTACTGGGCAGAACCGCAGGTTGCTGCCGGCTAATGACGGAGAGAATCCAGAATAGGTTGACCTACCTTCCACCGAATCCGTTCCTTCAGCAGCGCCTGGTGTCTGAACCGAGGCTGGTGTACTCGCAGTGGGAGGAGCAGCCAGTCCTGCCGGGGCGAGCACAGGGGAGGGAGTCCCATGGATGTCACCAGGGGTCTGCGTCAGTTCCCCCCCACTAAGGGTCTCCTCTGGCGGCGTGGTGCTTTCTGTTGCTGCCCAATCACTGGATGGAGAGGGCAGCACCACGTGTGGCGCATCTCCAGAGGAATCTGCCGAGCCACTGGTTGTGAACCGGTGTGTGTCTCCGCTGCCAGAGTGGAAGCTTCTGCTGCTACTGCTTCCTTCTCCGCTGTACTCTAAGGACCCCCGTCCGAGCTCCATGGACAGTGTGGTGTCTCCAGATGCCTCCGTCAGAATATCCCCAGTAATGAATGTAACACTTCCTTCTTCTCTACTTGAGAACTCAGAATCAGACATTCCTGATTCAGATAGTCCTGATCCAGATGTTCCTGATCCAGACATTCCTGATCCAAACATTCCTGATTCAGATAGTCCTGATCCAGACATTTCCAATCCAGACATTCCCGATCCAGACAATTCCGACTGAGACATTGCCGATCCAGACCCGGAGAGGAAACTTGAGCGTCCAAATCCAGACAAATGTCCACCACTTCCATGTCCAGAGGTGTAGAGTAGAAACCCGGAGGCCTCCTGCTCTCCAAAGGATGATACTGTAAGGTCAGTGAACCCCGACCCAACAAGGGTCACACCCGAGAAGAACCCGGAGCCACTTCCAGAGCCGCTGAGAATCCCAGATCCTGAAATGTCTCCGGAGCCACTAAACGCCAGAGGGCCTCCGCCAAGCTCATGCTCCTTGTGGGTAACACGAGTGGAGGCATCGATCAGTTCATGATTGAGCAGTAAGATCTGTGCGTCCCCGCTTCCAGAAATCTCTCCCGAGTGTCCGCTAGCGCTGCCAGAGGAGAATCCTGATGAGGACCCACTTGACCCAGAAAAGTCCTGGTCGGTGATGAAACCAGAGAACTGTCCACTTTCTCCAGAGCCATCTGCGGATGAGCCGCTTAGCTCGGAGCCCAGAACGGAGCCCAGACCGGAGCCGGATCCAGAACCGGACAAGTCCCCGCTACCACTGAGCTCTCCAGAGCCGACCTGAGATGAATGGAAGATGAAGATTCCAGTGCTCCCCTCTCCAGCTTCTTGGAGTCCACCTGAAGCCAAGCCCTCTCCAGAGAAAGAGCTGTCGATGCCCGAAAATACAACAGTGATGCCGGATCCATCTCCACTTTGAGCTGATCCAGAAGAATCTGTGCTGCTGATACCTAATTCTCCACTGTGCAGGTCAGCACTGGCACTGCCAGCCGAGTCTCCAGATCCAGATAATTCTCCAGATCCAGACAGGCCTCCAGATCCAAATAAGTCACCAGATCCAGATAATTCTCCAGATCCAGACAGGCCTCCAGATCCAGTTAATTCTCCAGATCCAGACAGGCCTCCAGATCCAAACAAGTCTCCAGATCCAGATAATTCTCCAGATCCAGACAGGCCTCCAGATCCAAACAAGTCTCCAGATCCAGATAATTCTCCAGATCCAGATAGATCTCCAGAGATGACTGTGTCTCCAGATCCAGACAGGCTTCCAGATCCAAACAAGCCTCCAGATCCAGATAATTCTCCAGATCCAGATAGATCTCCAGAGATGACTGTGTCTCCAGATCCAGACAAGTCTCCAGATCCAGACACGCCTCCAGATCCAGATAAGTCTCCAGATCCAGGTAGATCTCCAGAGCTCAACCTGTCTCCAGATCCATTCATGTCTCCAGAGCCGGACAGGTCATCTGAGGAACCTCGAGAGGGACCATCAATCGCAGATCCTGAGCCAAAGTCTGCTGAGCCGGAGCCAGAGCCCGACGTCTCCACAGGAACAGGAGAGATGATGGAAGGAACCACTAAAGAAACATATACAAGAACAAAAGTGAGGCACTTTGGGAATGGGATGGACATTTGTTCACAAAGTATTTGGCTCATAATTAAATATGGCTTACCAGTCCTAATTAAATCAGCGATGGAAGTGAGGTTAACGAGGGCCTCCTGGATATTTGTGACATTCTGCCCAGTTTCATTTGCAAGTAGTAAATCCGCTGCAAGAATTAAACAATGAGAGAAAATGCTGAATGACTGATGTTCTTTTATACAAATCAGTAAATAACAACCAAGTGCGTACCTCTGAAGCAGAACGCATCAAATCTGGCATCAAGTTGTGGGAAGTCCGTCTGGTTGGGGCGAGCGTACACGGTGTACACGCCTGACCTCCCTGCTACGCACTCGGCGCCGGGGTTGTTGACGGGATAGCGGACGCTGCGATCCGCCAGCCAGCCGGCGCGGCACTTGTCGAAACTCAAAATCTTCCAAGCCGCGTGGAGCTCTCCAGTGGAGGCCAGCACGGCGTCGTGCTCCTGGCAACTCAAAGCGGCCTGTTCGTAGGTGAAACCCTCGGCGGAGCTCACATGAAAAACCTCACCTGGAATGGAATGGACCGTGTAAAAAATAACAATGACGTTAGGCTGCCATGTTGTTGATAAGAGGAAGTTACTATATTTGGAATGTGGAGGAGTGACGTAGGTCTGGCAGCAGCAGAGACCTGTCAATCATAGTAAGCCCACCCTAAAGTTCATTGGGCTTAATGGTCTTGACTCTAAAAGGATCACAATTTACTTACTTTTAAAAACAACCTTCAAAATAAAATTTTCCAATTTGTTTTTCTTACCTTTGAGCTCATCAACGTAGCAGTACACATCATATCTCTCTTCTGCTGGCCTCAAACCATACGATCGAACTCCTGGTTGATCCCCCAGATCTCCAGCACACTTCTCCTGTGGTAAAACAATGGGGTACCTGGAAAAGAAGTCACCGGGATGACGTTCCGTGTTCGGGACTTGAATCTCTCTGCCGTGCTTTTATAAAACTAATCTCAGATGTACCTCACAGTCTGATCCAGTAACCATCCTGCATTGCACTGGTGATATCCCGCCTCGTATGCGGCCTGCAGCTGCTGTGGCGTGGCGATGGAGGCGCCGGCACTGTGGCAGGCCAGCTGGGCCTCGAGGAAGGTGAAGGTGTATCGGCCGGAACCTGAGCGATAATGAAAGACTACACCTGTACAGGAAGGGATATTGTTATTAGCCACACTTAATTGAGTTGTATAACTCATTTTTGCGAAGAAATACCACGCCAAGGACATATCTAATAATAAACCCCAACTGACCCACTCACTCCCCCTTTTTCATTCTCATTCTTTTCTTCCTTCCTCTTTGCCTCTCTACCCTCTCCATCCCTTTATCTTAAATCCCTTCATGCCCCAACCGACATTCCACTTACCCACATTCCCTTGCTCTACATCCTACAACCCGAATCCCTTCATCCCTTAACCTCCTTCTGCTCCCGAAGTCCAACCCTCACTTCAACACTACACTGTACATAATAGAGTTATCATGACATGCATCAGCTGTTCAGTATTACTTACCCTTTGGAGGCATCCCAGAGCCTCTGCCGAGCTCCCTCCCTACATCGGGTCGAGCGGTGGCTCGTTCAATCACGTCGACGACAAACTCGGTGACGTTCGGCGGCCCGGTGGGACTCTCTGTGAAGGCGAAGTCCACATCGGTCGGCCGCTGAGTCTCCACCTCTCCGACCGCCTCGCTCTCTGTGGTCGTCGGCCTGAAGAGCACCTCTGGGCTCCGCGTCACCGTGGTAACACTCAGCACACCGCTTCCCTCTTCCACGATGCCCGAACCCTCCTCGTCCAGGGACTCTGGAGGTGATTGAGGCGGGAGGATGTACAGATCTACAGACCTCTGATGCAGCTGGATCATATGCTGGGCGTTCTTCTCTTGTTATCCAACTCTCAAACCGAAGTTATGGTATTTACAACAGACTTGGAAGGAACTTTAATTTACACTTGTACCACTCTTGTAAGATACCACAAGGTAGGGGTATTTTTTCTACATGATGGCCCACCTGTGTAGCAGAAGGCATCGTAGCGGGACTCCTGGGTTGGATACCCTGTTTGGTTTGTGTGGAGGTAAACAGTTCGCACACCCAGCAGACCCCCTCCGCACTGCGGCCGGCGGACGTTGATGGGGTAGCGGACGCTCCTGTCCCCCAGCCAGCCGGCGTTGCAGACATCCATCCCCCCCTGCCAGGCCAGGTAGAGCTGACCAGTAGTGGCCAACTGAGCTCCCTTATTGGAGCAGGCCACCGCTGCCTCCGAGTAGCTGAACTTCTCCGCAGAGGCGGTGTAGAAAACTGTGCCTGGAGCAGATAAGAGAGGTTTGCATTAATGAGCTCAAAATCATCCCAAAACGTGTTGATGTCAGGGTACCTGTCATCTTCTCAGCGTAGCAGTAGACGTCATAAGTCTCATTGAGGTCCCTCACTCCGTAGGTCCGGACCCCGGGCAGTTCCTCTTTGTCACCATAGCAGTTCACACGAGGATCGTGGATCGGGTACCTTCGGGTAAATGGAAATCAGATTTGGTGTCTTTGATACCAAACGTGGGATATCGTTTTGTCAACTGATTTCAAGCAAACGGCCATCTACAGTTTGGTGGTGGTTTGATGAGAAGGAGAAGAGGTTCTCAGTTACAAACAAAAACAAGTTGTTATCTAACCATCTACCAGAGGTTGGATGAGTTTTGGCTTTTCTTCAGGTCAGTTGCTGTTTGTGAAGACGCCGTTCAAATACTAAAAGAAAAACCTCGAACCAGCATCGAAAACTGTTTTACACAGCTGAGAACATTTAGTTCATCATCAACATCAAGTTCCATATACCTGCCGTCCACCCTAATAGAGACTAAAATAACCTGTGTGCGTCTCCTCAAGCTTCAAAACAGTGTCAAATTATCACAGCACTTACTAAGAGAATGTATTAAACTAATAAACATTACAATTACCACTATTTGAGGTGTTTGTTTTTTCCGCCCATCACAAACTGACCTGACGGTGCGGTCGGAGAGCCAGCCGGCGTCACACTGGTGGAATCCATCGTCGTAGGCCGCTTGAAGCTGTTCGGGGGAAGCCACCACGGCGCTGTTCTGGGCGCACGCCGCCTCCGCTTTTTCGAAGGTCAAAGTGTAGCGGCCCATGATGGCGCGGTAGTGGAACACCATTCCTACAGAGTCAAACAAGGTTTTTGTTTTTTTACCGCCGATCAATCTGGGAGAAACAACAGCGCCCTGACTTCAAGAGATTTTTCCCACCTTGGACCTGCACGTGCACGTCGTCGTGGCCATCCTCGATGCCATGCTGCACCTCGCAGCGGTAGACCCCCGCGTCGCTGGATCGCAGCTCGGATATCCGGATGCTGGCGTCCGTGGAGGTTTCCGGGTAGCCCACCAGGTGAACTCTGTCCAGGTAGCTCTCGCCGACGCGCACCCGCCCCTCCGAGGCCACCAGGACGGTCGTGACCTTGTCTTTGGCGACGAGGCTCCATTTGATGCGGTGAGCGAGGGGAGCGGCGGTGGGAGCTCCGGGGTCCGGCACAGTGAGGTCCTACGCGGGAAGAAACAACATTGTCAACTTTTTGTTTTCACAACCACCAGTGTTGAGTCTTCTTTCAACACTGTGTGATGATGGATCAGCTCATGATGACTCACCTCAAAGTAACACGGCAGCACCACGGCGCCCCCCAGCAGCAAGCGCGGTGGCTCCTCCAGGGGAATGCTCACACTCAGAACCTCCTCCGGGTCTGTGGAGGAGACCAGCCAGAGTTTTTGGGTGAATGCATTTGCGGCCGCTGCTTGTGGCCATGACACGCTTGGAAGAGTTTCGTGTTTTGTGTTTCGCCCGTCTAATTATTGTGAGATGCGTCTCAAATGCACGCTCTCTTACCCATAAACGAGTGGTCTTGGTAGATGTAATCAAATGCTGCTGAGATGGCGTGTAAACACGCTGACAGCAACACAATCCTCCTCAACATGTTTTACCTGAGAGGAAAAAAAGGAACATTAGCAAAAATCCACTCAGTAGAAACTCTTTGTAACAGCATCACAATACAGAACATTACCCAATCTAACACATTTTATTTTACTTGTAAAATCAAAAACATGCATTTAATTGAATTTCAATAAACAAAGCTTTGAATTAGATGTATTTTCTTTGATGCATTTGATGCTATTTAACATAGTTCCAATGCAGAGCATGACACAAAACATGATGGCTCATTGACACTGTCAATGTAATAAAACCAAAATATTGTATATTAAAGACTTGAAACTAGAGCTTGAGACCATAAACTCATGTTTACAATGTTTACTGAGGGAATAAATCAAGAGAGAAGTAGAGTCATTTTCACATTGACTTCTAAGGCACCAGAGGAGTCGCCCCCTGCTGGTCACTACAGAGAATGCAGACTTTTTGCTGCAAAGACAAACTAAACACAGTGAAGTCCTCTATGCGGTTTCATCCATTCATTGGAAACAGTCTGAATGCCTCCAGTGTCTTTATGAATATGCTTCTGGTTCTGACAACATTCTTCCTCTCTCGGCTTGCAGAGGGAGGGTCAACACTTTTAAACCACAAGACTGAAATCATTCGTTGAGCTTAAATTCAAGTTCTCTCCGTCTTGTTTCAAGTCCATGACTCCACCTACGGACTCTCAAACAGGCATGATTTAAGTTCTCCTAAAATAAAGCAACGCAGCAACGGCCCGGGACAAATAAACATGTCAAGGATGCCAACGGGCCGGCGGAGGGTTTCCAAGTTTTTCCGACACCCAGCGCTTTTTTTTTGTCCCAGGAACACAAGGAGCTCCAGTTTTTGAAAAGAGAAAAAGTTTGGGACTCCATTTGGGTTACACTTCCTGGGCCCCCCCCCCCCCCCGCCTGCACCGAGAGACTTTCCACAAATGCAGTTTGTTGATTTGCTCAGATCAATTCAATGACAAAAACATGGGCTATTCAAAAACAAGCTTTATTTCAGCCTCAGCAGAAAAATAACAAAATGATGGTTTGTTACGGCCATGTGAACAACCTGAAGAGAATATTAATCCAGGAATTAAACATTATCTTATATGTAAGTGAAATTATCAATTCTGGACTTTTAAGTTGAAATCCAGGTTTGAAATGTATTTTATTACTCCAGTTACTTTTGTCTTTGTTTGCTTTTACTTTACTATTTTACAGCCCGTGTTCTGCCTGACTGTTAAAGCTCCTGACAATAGGACACTTTACACGTCTGTACTTCTGAGGACTCCTGGGAAGCCCTTTATGCTCGTGTCGGTTTTCTTCTTACAACTTTAACCCTTTCCCCGTGTTTTCACTTGATGAACTTTAATCGAAACATCTACAAGATAAGAAACAAGATGGCGACAGCGGAAATGACGAAGTTGAGGCTTCGGGTCGGCGGTCGATGTCCGTTACTTAAATTCCTTCAATGCAATTCTCCCTGAAGTGATTAGGACATTTTGTCTCCAGGAGAGAGGACATATCCACCGGACATGAGATAGCTAGACTACAGGTAACAGGACGTCCTCCGATCACACATGGGACCCGAGGAGTCGCCCCCTGCTGGTCACTACAGAGAACGCAACTTTGAATGTGGCCTCGACCTGGAACAAATCTGGATTCATCAGACTTTCAGTTTCCTTTTTTTTTTTTTTTCAACACAGCATTCCTTCTGTGAAACGTGTTCGACCCCGTCCCCCCGTCCCCCGGTCTCCCCCACCCGTCCCCCCCAGGGAGTATCCCTGCAGGCCTGATCTGCGGGCCTTTTGCACTTCACCAACACTTTCATCACACTGAGCTCATTCAGCCTCCGGTCGAGGTCCACTCCCACAGAGACCCATCAGAGCAGGTTTGTCCTCCTGAAGCCCACGTTGTTGGAGCTCTGACGACACCGGGACGGGGGGGGGGGGTGTGTGTGGGGGGGGGGGGGGCTGAGTAAACAGCGTCCTTTCCATTGCGCCTGAACACTGCCCACATTCAGGAGCCTGGGAGGGGGCCCACCGGGTCGGCTTCAACCCTCAGCTTTTCTTTCCAGTAACATTTCTCAGGTTAAGTTTAGTCACGTACGATTGAGACACAAGTAACGCTGCCTTTAAATCTAATTAAAATTAACCCGCGATGTAGAAAACGTTGAGGTCTGTATCTGCTTCACTACATAATTAACTCGCACGGACTTTGATACTTTGTGGTACCAAACAATATGCGTTGATATCGTGTTTGTCTGGTTTTAATTATTGGTAACTTAATATATTTTTATTCAAATATTTGTATCTCAAAAACTCAGTGACTTATTGTTTGGTTGATAAATGTTAAAAACACAAAAGCAAATACATTTTTTCAAGTTTAAAATATTGAACATCTTTATGAGAAGAAAATAAAAAGTAGAGGTGATTGAAGGTCACACACATTCAACTGGTTATTTTTTTAATTACATAAAAAAATTAATTATCCCATAAGAGCCATTTTTTTGTTAAAAGTACTGTTTTAATAAAGCAGGCGAGCACCTTTTCAGAGCCACATTTCCACAGAAAATATGCCAAAACAAATTGTATTACAGTAAGTATTTCGCTCACCTGTGGTAGAAGAACCTTCAAACTGTTCTTCCTCGGTGTGTGTGCGGTGGTCCACTGAGCTCCGGGTTTGGGAGGTTTTGAAAGGTCCCAGTGAGCAGCAGCTGGGCAGCTGGGGAGGAGGGAGACTGGGAGACTGGCAGACTGGGAGGGGGTCTGCCTGTCACACCGAGGACCGGATGGCTGCTCACACTGAAGCAGGAGGGTCCCGAGTTACCGTTTCAAAATAAAAGCTTCAGATGTTCACGTGATGGAGGAAGTTCTTACAGCATGTAGCCCAGTGTTTTCCCAAAGCTTTTACTCCGTTATCTTACATTCTCCACGATCTAAAACATGTAAAACAGCCATTCAGAAGAAATATATATGTCGGAAAAATGATGCGTATTTAAAACACAAACACAATGAGCACAGTGTGTAATCTGTGCTAAATATCTTCAATTTGGGAAAACGTTCTGCTTTTATATTGAAGGAAGCGTAACTGTGGCTGTTTGGCACATTTTACCCATGGGGGGGGGGGGGGGGGGGACCTGGGAGTAGAAGTGTGTGGCTGTAGAAATGAGGTAATCATATTCTCTGAGTCATCCGACGTTGAACTGGATGAAACACAGATTGTACTGCGTGTGTGTATTTATAGAGGGTACTTCTACCACTGAGCTTATAATATAATGCGCCTCTAAAACATTGGAGGGTAACCCCCCCCCCCTCCTCCCTCCACCCCTGAAGAGAACTGAAGACAAAGCTGCTCTTTCACTCGGGTATCACCGGCAGCTCATTGCACAGGAAACAGCAACACGACGCCTACAAGTGTTGCTACGGAAACGAATGGAGCCTCACTTAAGTCTTGAAAAGGGGGAGGGGGGGGGGGGGGGGGTGTAAGAGGGACGTGATGACAACTACATACATCGATTTGAGATTCTTTTTATTCTTGAATAGATTAAACGTTTACTTTTATTGTCAATATTTTATTTGAGGACTTGATTTGACTGACTGTCACTTTCTGTTCGCTGGTGCACTTCATTTTAATTTTTAAATGTTTTAAACTTTTTAACTTCTATTCCTTTATTTTTCACTGGACCATAGTCTTATTTTACTAACCCATAGCATTATATTTGATTTCATTCCTCTTGCACCGTGTTGTCTTGGTGTCCTTGTATGTCTGACATATTATGGCAATAAATAATTATTTAAAATAATAATTCCTGAAATGAGTATTTTCATGACAAACAAGTGTGTCGATGTTTGTATGTAGTCAACAACTGACCATCAAGTCAAATCAATTAAAGTGGAATAATTATGATTAATAAATGTACATATATGTTCTTCAATAGAAAGCAAAGATGTTTCCTTAACAAATATTATACTATTGAAACAAGGTTATTCAATTAGTATTTAACAAGCTCCAGTTGGAAGTTAGACGTCAGTCTACACAAGCAGTCCACGTTTTATGAGTCCAGAAACATCTTTTTAACCGGCAGCCAGAAAGCCCACCGCGTTCCTGCGGGGTCCTCGTAGACCAGAGGTCCTCGTAGACCAGAGACCGGACCGGCATTCATAATGAGACTCCTTGTCCTGTTCTGACCCGTTGCTGCAAGTCACAGCGAGTGTAACAAATTGAAGCCATGTGAGGGGGCAGCAGAGGGCTGCTTCCTCTTCCTCTTCCTCCTCCTCCTCCTCCTCCTCACAGAGGCTCTTTGTGACCGAAGCTGTGAGGAGACGACAACTATCAGCCCTCAATCTCACAATCTGTAGTTTCTCTATCCTCACTTTCAAGTGCTGAAGGACGTAGAAAAGGTGCAGAGTTCGTCTTCATGCAATCGCTTTGCATCTTTAGGACAAACAATCCGATTGTTGCTCACAGGAGAAGTCGTCGCGTTGATGTGGATTCTAGAGGAAGCAGACCGAACATTTCAGACATCAGCTGACGAGGAGCGTCGGCGTTCTACGGAAAACAAAAAAAAAAAGTCACAGAAGCGTTGGAGCGAGTTTGTGCGGATTGAAAGGAGAGTTTAATGCCAAACACCATACGAACACTCATGTACAACATCTTAAAAGTCACACATTAAAACGAGGTACAAACAACGTCTTTATGTACAATCATCTCCCCGGGGACGTCCTGTGGTACTCCTTATTAAAACGCAGTAAATACAAAAATAAAAAGTATTAAACTGTCTCCGGGATTGTCTGTAGCCGGAAACGTCTCTCGGTGGAGCCTGAAGCCTCGGCGGGAACGTTTGGTGCGTTCGCTTCCATTGACGAATGAAAGACGATCACATTTCGCTCCGGAGGTCGAATACGGAGAAAAGACGTTTGCTTCCGCGGCGATATTTAGAATTTAACATCCTCCCCGAAGCGGCGAACGTTACCGGCAGCGTCTCTAGTTTTATTTAACAAGCTGCGGACGAGAAAAGGCAATAAAAACGCTTTGTTTACGTCCCTCTTTGCAAAAAGGGAAGCCAACGGTCACATTTGTATTTTCAGCGAGAAACACAGAGTTCTGAACAACTAAAGGAACTATTACTGCTCGCTTGTTTTCTTCATCGCTAAACTGTACAACACACGTTCAAATATAGACCTTCTGTACACAAACGACAACTGCAAGAGTGAAAGATCAACACAGCTCGTGTTCAGCGTTCACCGCGGGTCAGATTCTGACCATTTGGTAAAGTTTAACTAGGAGAAACGGTTTGGGCTTTTTGAACTTTACTTAATAAAAAAAGAAGAAGGAGAGACTACGGCTCTGCTACATTCAATCACCTCAAAACCACGAGTGACACCGAGGCCAAAGACTGAAGGTAGAAACGCGTATAAAAGAACATCGTTCTGCGTATTTAGCCAGAGGCTGATTCTCAACGTGTGTGTGTGTGTGTGTGTGTGTGTGTGTTAATGCTACACAGCGATGCCGTCGGATTAAAAGGAGATCTAGATGTAAACAACATATTTACACAAAAATGTTTGGGCGGTCATAAATGATCATACACGATATATACACTGCTGCTGAGCCGCACAATAATTATATATATATATATATAATTATTGTGCCTCACTGCACCTTTACCTAAGAAAAGAAAAACATTCACAGGCTGAATACAAGTTGCCATGGAAACCCACACCGAGGCTCCTTCTGTGTTTTGTGGTTTTCAAAAGAATGAAATACTTACGACCACCTTTCTTGTTCCAATTGTGAATTTCTTCAAAAACAGTCATATTTTTAAAAATAAATAAAAACTACTCTACATGTAATATAATATTGTGATTTCTGAGACAGGCTTCTTTCTTTTGACGCGACGCTTCACGGAAACTACAGCGCGAGCATCAAAGTTCCGGGATTTTGGCTTCCGACTTCCCGACTCCTGCACGAGGCCCCTGGACGTGCACGCCGCCGCGGCGGGCAGACAGTTCGTCCTCCAGAGAGAGAAGAAAAGGGGGGCGGCGGGGGGGGGCGGAGCCTACAGCGTCCGGTACGTCACCCGGTACTTGTTGACGGGGATGTAGTGGAGGACCTCGGGGCAGCGGGTGGTGGCGCACGGCAGCAGGGCCTCTCGCCGCTCGCCCATCAGCCACTTGCGGTTGTCGGCGGCCATGTCGGCGCTCACGTGCTGCTCGGCCCAGCCGTCCAGCCAGGAGTGAAAGCGCCTGTGCAGGCGCGTGTTGACCCGCTGCTGGGACTGAGGGCACAAACAACAACAACAACAACACAGCTCAGCTACTGGGAGACCAGTTCGCTCAGACACTAGAACCTATAAAACTGTTCATTTAGACGATTCACTAGAGGGCGTCGTTCACCACATGATGAATGAATATGTAACTACATGAGCTCTGCATAATATCTACAGCTTCATGCGTCCGTCCACCCTCAAAGAGAAACCCACCGCGGACTAAACCCACGGCGAGCGAGCGACGCCCACTTCCTGTCCCCACCTGATGGGCGCGCGTGAGCGCCGTGTGCCGGTACATGTAGTCCTCCGACTTGCAGACGTAGACCATCTTGTAGGAGTTGAGCTTGAACATGCACTGCATCTCCAGCTCGCCGTCCGGAAGCTTCTCCGAAGGCGCCTTGTTCATCCGCTGCTGCTGCAGCCGCTCCCAGCCTCTCTGGCACTTCCTGATCCGCCGCAAGTTCCTGGAGGAGGGGGGGGGGGGGGGAAGAGACGACAGCCGTGAGCGACCATGAGGATTGTGCAAAAGAAAAAAGAAAAAAAAGAAGCGTTTACAGGGAAAGTTTGCACACATTTTCTAAAGTGTGTGAAAAGCTAGTTTTTGTTGCACAACAGATTTTAAATGAGCAGTTTGCACTGTGAGATTCTGCAACGTTCTCAGGCACAATACACATTAAGCAAATCATCTGAGAGCAGTTTGAGAGGACTGTCCCTTTAAACAAGGTATATATATTTTTTTAAACCCATGCATTGTAACTCACCGAGTGACTGAGTAAGATTTGGAGTCAAATCATTGGAGGGAAATGTGGATCTATAAGAGCAGCAGAGGCAGCAGTAATATGTAGATATAGATCTCTGTACGGTGCACAGCCACATCGTTTCTCATGAATAAAACTTGGCACACAATTGATCTCTTTCCTTCTCTTTTGCAGGCAATAAATAAAGATGCAATGATCACCCCACCTGAATGAAAGTTTTAAATGTGTACTTACCACTGAGAGTACAGGTGAGCGGGGACTCACATATTTTTGCATTCAGGGCTCCACTTAAAAAGACTTGAGGGCAATTTAAAACTGTTAGAAACAGGGGGAAAAATGCCTGATAGAAAAACCAATCCAAAAATATGAGCTGGGAAATACGACGTACAGAGTGTTATGATCATGAGATGAAGACCCAACACAACTGGAAAATAAACTGGAGTTTTGGGGGGTTTTTTTGCTGCCATTGAAGACTTTTGTGTAGAAGGAAGTCTTTTGACCTCTTGCTGCTGATCTCTCATAGATTTGATGAAAAATAATAAAAGAAAACCAAAAAGGGGACAAGATGTGGGTGACCCACCAATAAATCATAGTACCAGATTTATGCCATGGGTTGAAAAAAAGATCAAAACTTAGAACAATATTTAAGAAGCCTTTTTTCTTTAACGTATTTTAAGGAAATGTGCATGGTTATGGACAGCCATCTCAAAGAAACAAACACACAATAAATGACAGAGCTCAACCGGAGCTTTTTAAAGATCCCGCCTGCATGCATAGATAAAGAAATACACCAACATGAACATACAATTTAGACAATCATTTTATTTACAAACCCTACTGCTCTGTACAAGTGTTGCAGGTGATGTGTTTTTAAAAACCGGTGGAACGTAAAACCTCCCGAATGAAAACCGCGACCGCGACGGGAGCTCAGCTGTTTTCACCGAAAAACCATTACAAACATAACACCGAGCATAACAGACTGGAACAAATGGACATTTGAACATTTTACAGCCAAATACAGGACCTTTGATCTGGATACAATCACACAACGAAAAAGGGCATGATAAGGTAGAAAAGGGGAAACCACATCGCTGTCCTCTCTGAACAAAGTCTCTCCGGTCCGACTCAGCGGCTTCAGTCTCGCAAACTCAGGCCAAAGACATCGTAGAAAAATCAAAAAGAAAAAGGTTGCTTGTTTGTGCATTCGATGACTTTAGTTCTTATTCTACACAATGAAAATGAGCATTTAAATTCAATACAATATAAAGAATCAAACTCCTCATAGCGGTCTGCTATTCAAAACCCAAGATCAGGCCAAAAAACATTCTTAAAAAACCTTTGCTATTAATAAATAAAATTCCCCGTTAAAAAGGAACTGAATCAATGAATAAATAAATTCCATTATTTTTTTTCTCTCTCTTTAAAAAGACGGCCGTGTAAAGTGCAATCTTCTGTTTGCGGCAGATGTCAGCGACGGAAAACGTTCAGAGACTCTTCACAAACAGGAGGGCATTCAGGCCTCTTCAGGCTCCACGGCTTTTTATTCTCTCTCGCTCTCTTTTTAAATCAACCTTCTCAAACCCTCGTTGTTCGTCCGTTTACTTTGAAGAAAAAAAAAAAAAAAAAAAAGGAAAGACAGACAAAAGAGGCGGTTCTGATGCCCGGTTAGAAAAGAGCGTGTGCAGAAGTGCCTCTGTGTTCTCTAAGTCGTGTTTGGCAGCTGGTTGGGGGGGGGCGGCTGAGCGAGAGTCCACTCAGCCGACTAGAGCCTCGGGAGGAGGGGGGAGGGGGGGGTAGAAAGTACGCAGACAGGAGGGGAGGCTGGGAGAGGAGGGAGGGGCCTCACCTGGGGAGGAACACGGGTTTCTGGAACAGGTGCTCGCGCAGCTCCGGGGACGCAGAGTCGGAGTTGAGGTATCTGCCCACGTAGTCCGACCACCTCTGTGGGGACGAGAGGAGACGCGCGACAAACCGTTAAGACATTATGGATCCCCGATCGCTTCTGCCCCCCCCCCCCTCGATCGAGGATTTAACGATGACTTCTCGTTACACGATGGTGCGTTCATGCTCTGTTCGGAAAACAAAAACAAAAAACGAGCAAATCCTGACGTCATCACGGCGTGTTCAATAGTTTGCTGGCTCCTTGTAGAGCGGCTGCTGTAATCAATCAACAATAATCATCACTGATCATTCGCATCTTTGCACAAATGAAATGTGACCGTGGACCTCAAGGTTATATTAGCTAGATAAATGCTTGCGATCCAAAGTCCTTTTAGGGTTAACAGTGTAATCCTGTTTAGAGCACCCAAGCGTAAATACAGGTAAGTACAGCTGATCGGCTCATCGCAGACACGCCGGTTTAACAGCCGGACCGCTGTACTCGGGACGACTCTTAATGACAATATATGCGTATTAACGCGCACGCCGAATATCACGTGAACAGCAGATCACATCCAGAAGATACAGCTTTTCTTTCTTCTGTGTTCTTTCCGTATCCATACAAAGAAGTTTGTTATTTTACTAAAAGAGCGGCCAGAGTTTCACAATCCGTCCCACAGAACTACGTCTACGTTTCACCCGTTGTGTCGGCCGACTTTCTACAGTGGCGACACAACGAGGCTGCGAAAGCCAACGCGCAGAAAGACGTTCTTTAAAAAGGGGCAATACACCAGATTGCCATTTAGTGGGGGAACGTCCACCTCGTCCGCGGCCTCGTGAGAACATCCGCGGCATTTCAGTCTTTCCCCAGTTGACCCCTACTGAGCGGACGGCTCGTACCTCTGCATCCGCCGGCTCGTCCGAGTTCTCCTCCTCCGTGTCCAGCAGCTCCATCGACAGACTGACGGCTCCTCGGCTCTTCGCGAACAGCAACTGGAAAAAAGAAGAAGAAAAAAACGCACCAAAATCAGCACCGGCGGCGTCGAACCGAGGCGCCGAAAGAGGAGGCCGTCGCCGCACCTTGAAGCAGTTCTCGTCCGTCATCAGCTGCTCCGCTCTGCGCTGGTAGGCCCCCTCGGCCGCCGCCCGGGACGCCTGCGTGGACAGAGGCCCCCCCGTGGCCTTGTTGGCGCTTTCGCTCAGGTACATGTCGGTGACGCGCGAGCACACGTCGTCGGTGACGAGGTGCTGGAGCTGTGGAGGGCGACAGGTTTGAGCTGGTAAAGATCTGATCGGCACAGAAGACCCTTCTTAGGTTGTTGTTCTGGTTTGCAAAGTAAAAAAGGGGAAACATTTAAATGGACGTCGCAGTGAAAACGCTGACTGGTTTCGTTAAGACACATCGTTGTGTTTTTAAATGGGCAAATGAAGATAACGCCAGGTTCAATGTTCTGGTTTCATTTTGCTGTGTACACGGTTTGAACAGTGTGACTTTAGAAGCGTGTGACTTGAATGAATGATGAATGAATCCAGCTGTGGGTGACGTGAACACAACGTTCTGTAAAAACCATCAAGATACATTTAGGAATGAAAGATTGGCGAACGAAGTCTGGTCCTTTAAAGACGTGTTTGGTAAAATTACAGATGTCTTAAAGTTGTATCAAATGTTCTGTTCAAAGCAGTGCAGGAATTCGAGGTTGGACCAACTGAAACCGGCGGATTGTCCATTCAGGGACACTGTAGAACACGGCAGGGCAACATGGCCGATTCGGAGAGGACCTGCATGTGGAAATAAAACCGCTCACAAAACGCTTCTCAACGCTTCGTTTCCAGGCATCATTCGCACAAGAGAGTTATGTGTACAATTCATATTAAATCGCTGTAAATCACACGGTTCCTTTAAATATGCATATGAGGCAAAATCTAATAGTAACTTTTGCGGAATTTAGGGGAGAAATCCACGGTCGCTTATAGACAAATAAACCACTAAATGTGTATCTTGGATGTTTTCTTTCCCAAAGAAAATGTTATAGAAATGTCAAAATTGAACGATGATAATGTTTAATGAGCGGCTGCTGACCTGCCGGACGATGCTCTGGATGAGCTTGTCCATGGTGAAGGCGATGTAGGCGTGGATGGTGAACATCTCCCTCAGGGAGTCCTCGTAATGCGTCGGCTCCATGTTCCCGTCCAACAGATTACGCACCATCTCCAGGAACACCGAGTAGTAGTCCTCCACGTCCACATCCACTGCGGGCGCAAAGTGTGGCACATTGTCGTCCCATCAAAACAAGAACAGCTCAGAGATTCACACAATCCACCAGCACGCTTCTCTCCGGGGTCACTTACGCGGCTCCTTCATCTTCAGTTGGATTGCCGGATTTTCGTTCTTCTCCCGTTTGAGCCCCAGAACTTCTCTCTCCCACTCTCGCTCGCGGGCGTCCTCCTCGATCTGCTTCTCGGCCTGGCCGTAGATCCGCAGCAGGCGGGAGCAGAGGATGTGGTGCAGGCGGAGGAAGATGTACCAGTAGTTGTTGACAAAGAACACGGTGTAGGCGTCCTCGGTGCCGCGCGCCCTCTGGGCCGCCGCGCCGCCAAAGAGGAGCTTGGACTTTGACGGGCTGCCGCCCGGCAGGCCGTTGTGCTTCTTGGGGCCGTCCGGGTCCAACTCCACGTCTTCGTCCTCCTCCTCCTCCTCCTCCTCATCCTCCACGTCGGAGAGCTCGCCCCGCCGCGCGAACAGAAGGTCGGGGATGAAGTGGTGGATGATCTGCTTGATCTTGTACTTGTCCTCTTTCTGGATGCCGACCTGCCTCTTGACGTGGTGGATGATGAGGGCGGCGGCGTCCTCCAGGATCTGGCTGTCGTCGTAGGTCTGGGTCAAGTGGGGGCCGCCCGGTGGGGGCGCGGCCGCTTCCTCCGACGCTCGCTCCTGGCGCTGCGGGACAAAGACGGGAGTGGGTCAGGGGATTCCCACTATGCAAGTACGGCTCAACCCGAACCCGTCGGGTGAAACACAACTACGCCGTTTAACCAACTTGCTGTTTGGTCTCAATAAAACCGTCTGAGAAACTTTAAAAAGACAAAACAGGGGAGTGATTGAGCCGATTAACCCGATTCTCGTATTATATATATATACGTATATACTTACGTCGTCATACAGCATCTCAATTTCATTGAGCAAGGTCTTTGAGCGCAGCACCTTGGTGTCATTCTGCTTGAAGTTGATGCCTTGGTGGTCGAGAGACTTCAGGTAATACTTTTCGTTCTGCTCCCTCCAGATCTTGTTGAAGCCTCTCTGGGCTTCTCTCCACTCCTCCTCTTTCATCTTCAATCTGCAGCACGGACACAAAGAAAAGCGTAAGAAGATCTCATCTTTTCCGCTATAAAACGGGTGTGAGAGGTCGACCGGATAAGCCCTTATTTATGATATTGCTTTATTTGATAAGGGACGGCGCACATTAAGAAAACACATTTCTGCAACACGAAACAAAGCGGATTCAAAGACCTTTTCAGCACGATGGGGACCGACGCAGCCGGGTTCTTCTTGAGTCCGTCGATGATGTCGTGCGCCTTGTCCCCGTATATCCTCTGGAGGGCTTTGCGGTGAATCACCTCGGAGGAGCCGCCCAGCGCGTTGTCCAGCTTAAAGCGCAGCTGCTCCTCCGCCGACATGCGGGAGATCCTCCGCTGCACCGTCTCCAGGGCTCGGATGGTGGCCAGGTTGGCCTCCAGCACCACGTCCAGCTGAGGAGCAATCGCAGCACAATTGTTGACGCACGTCTTTGTATCGTAAAATGAGGTTGGATCCAAAAAGGGTCTCGCGGTGCAGCCTCACCTCGAAGCGCTCGTCCTCACATCTGTAGATGTGCTCCTCGTACTGAGTCTTCTTGGAGCTCACAAATGTTGAGTCTTCGGACCACGATGGAAACGACACCCACGTGTCATTCAGAACCTGCAAGATCACATTGAGTTCAACACAACAGGACTTCTGGTAAATGAACCTCACAGTCCGATGTAGAAAACACGAAAGCTACAACAAGCAGTCATGAGTTTATCAGCACTTTTTAGATTTAAGGTATAAAGTAGGAGAAAAGCATTTGGTGCTTTAAGCTTTAAATTATTTTGACTATTCGACAAAAAGGTGTGAGAAAATAATTTTGCAATGAACATTTGCTGTTTTTTTGTAAGGCTCAAGCGATTCCCCAAGTATAGAATTCCTTCTTCTGACTGAAACACAGCCAACATTTAGCATTTATTCATGTGAACACGAAAAGCATTCAAATATATATACATAGAACAACATATCTAAATCCTCATGTGGTCACAGACACGGAGGAGAAACTTCCGCACTGGTTGAGTTTATAAACCGCGATGCTAAAAATGAGCCCTGCAGCCAAAGCTCAGCCGGAGAGGTCGGACACGCAGACATTAGAGCTTTAACTGGGGAGAGAACTCCCCCCCCCCCCCCCATCCATAGCAGGGCGTAAACATTACAGGTTAATCAGAGCGTCTTGCTCAGGGACACTTTGGCACGGGGCAGCCGGGACTCGAAACCACCAACCTTGTGGCCCCCAGCGCCACAACGGCCCAAAGATGACAGAGCTCAGCAGGCGTCTGCAGCGACTCACCTCCCTGCACAGCGGCGTCCTTCCGGTGCACTTGGGCTGCTGGTAGCTTTTGGGCAGCGCCCTGTAGCTGGAGCCCAGCCTCTTGCAGGAGGCGTAGTCGATCTCCATGGCGATGCCCTCGGTCGCTCGCTCCTTGGGTAAACTCTCCATGTGGCTCGACTCGCCGTGACTCGACTCTCGGTAGCCCAGGAAGTTTTTAAACCACGTGAAAAGCTCCGGGAATTTGCTGCCAAACATGAACAAGGCGCGTGAGATAAAGAGATGAAAGTGTGTGCAGGTACACTTGTAGTGGTTGCACTTTTTATACATTTATTTATGCAAAACAATTTAGGAATCAATATTTGTGTAAACAAAGTCAGAGTGTAATGTGTCATATGGTGTGTAAATTACCGCGATTTAAGGAATTTTAATACTTTTCCATGAGAATAACTCGTTACATTGTTTTACTGCGGTGTCGTTTTGTGGCTACAAGGAGCAACAGCAGTTACCGAAGCGTTTGAGTGCTGGTGACTGCGGATGTGTGGCGGAGCGCCAGCGTCTTTTAAACTCACCCGAGGAACGGGATGACCAACTGGACCAGCTCGGCGCGAGAGATCACTTCCTGGTTGAAAATGTGAAGACAGCGCAGGAAGTTGTCGTAAGCCTCGGAGCTCCGCAGAGCCTTCTTCACCTGAAAACATTTTTTTATTAAAACGATTTTTTACGTCACTACTACAATAAATAAGGTGGTTAAATGAAGGCGCAGCGTCTGGTTTCATCAGGAAACCGACCTTCTCGAAGAACATCGTTTCAGTGCTGGTGCTGTGTTTGCCCGCCTCCATCATGCTGTGATCCTTCCCCAATATTTTGGGCTTTTTCTGCAAGTGTACGAGAACATGACAAAATGATTTGGGTTGCAGGCCCTAAACAAAAGGCTTGCATTGAGAATGGTAAACGTCACAGTGGAGGAGAATATCCTCATTGTGACGTTCGGGCAGATTCATGCAGATTCATTCATTACCTTGACAGGCGGGACTCCCACTCCGGGTGGTCTCCTGATCGGCAGGCCGTTCTGGCTCAGACGCTGTTTGTTGCTCAGTAGAGGTCTCTTCACCGTGCCGCCGTGATCGTTACGCACCGACTCCGCCCGGTCGGGTGTACTTTTGCCCAGCAGCTGAGAAAAAGCATCATATTATCATTAAATGTATAGTAGTCGCTCCGGTGTTTACAGACAGCTGTTATCGGTATTCATGCAACCATGCACTTGATCTACGTTAGTCACCATCGTGCTGTTTGCATCAGGCAGGAACTGTCCGAACTCTGACAGCAGGTCCTCCTGGTTCTTGAAGAGCTTCGCCACCTGAGTGTAGACTTCCTGCTCCGTCAGCGATGGGGTGTAGTTGCCGGCTGCCTCTTTGGCATTTCGTTGTTCCTTCTGTAAAAATGTATCACAAAATGAGGTTGTGAAAGCACTTCTACGCGTGTCCCTGTTTCTTTAAATCTAGCAAAAACACACGTGTGCGGAATACCAGCAAGGGAAAAAGAACCCAGAATCAGTGGTTACAACTGGCAGTAAATGAGCGAAAGTGTTGCAATAGTTTGGAACTTGCTGCTCAAGAGACGATTTGTTGACATACAGGACAAAAAAAAAAAGCAACGTCCAACCATTTCCTAATTAATTGTCTTTTTTACGAAGAAAATAATAAAAAAGAAACAACACGAGAATTGATAAGGAGTTCTGTTGCTGTATAAGCCGAGCACCACCATTGATCGACTCCTGATGATACCCGTGGATGCCATATGTGCCATTGTCTCACCTGGTATGTGTGCAGGATTTCCAGGAAGGCTTTGTAGATGTCCGGCTGACCCTGGAAGCGGTTCTTGATCTTGTTGACGTAGTTGATGGCGTGGTTGAACTCCACGGGCTGGTTGTTCTGGAGGGGCGGCCCGCCGGACGGCGTGCTGCTCACGGGAGTGTGCGATTGGACGGAGGGGGAGCGCGGCGAGGCGTAGGAGGGGATGGATGGGTTGGGCTGGCTGGTGGGCGTGTGCGCCGGAGACTGAACCGGCTGAAGGGTTTAGACGTGGAAGAGCGCACGCGTGTCATTACAGTCATTTAGTAAACATTCTGTTTTACACATGACAAACAAAGTCATCCCGAATACGATATTGTTAAAAAAAAAAAAAAAAAACGTTTGTGTCGTGTTTCGGCCCTTTTTAATATTTTGCTGAAAATACAAATTCATCAAGATCTGAGAAACTCTGAGAAAGGAGGAACACGATCAGGTCAACGACACTCAATCCAGCAGAACGAGAGAGAAGCGCGTCTTCTACCTTGCTGGTTTTGTTTGGAGCCGGTAGGGTGGGGGTTGGCGGGGCGGAGGTGGCGGCTGTGTTGGCGGCGCCGGCGGCGGCAGTGTGCGGGCCGGCCTGTGGCAGACTCTGGTGCTGGTTGTGGCTGGCGGGTTGGCTGGACGCTCCGCTCATGGGGATGTTCTGAACAGAGATGCCGTGCGGGGTGATGTAGTGGATCTGACCCGGCGTGGTCACGTTGACCAGGTCGTTGGTCTGAACCTCGATCTTGTATCCGGGGGGCAAGAACGTGTTGAAGCCCATGATGAGGTCGGGGTGTCCCTTAAACAGCTGGGAGACGCGGTTGATGACTCCAGGAGTGTCTATGCTGCAGGGACCGAAGGAGCGACAGCAATTCAGTGTGAATCCTCATCATCAATTGAGGATTTCAATTAAACAGTATTGTTTTTACACATACACACACATGTGAGTGTAACTTGGGAAAAAGCTGCAATGTGCAGTTATAAAGTATATACAGAATGGACTCATATTCAAAATATAGAATGAGGAATAAACTAATATATATATATATATATATATATATATATATATATATATATATTAAATAGATGCAGGATGAAAAAAGGGCTGCAATTACAGGAGGCGTTGATAGAAATATGATTAAAATATAATAATATATACATTGTACAGGTGTAGTTGCAGGAAATGCAAATAATAAGACAATATACAGAATGAACAGCTGGAGGTATGAATACAGGGTTTACATTATAGATGTACAGTATGAACCAATTCAAAGGTGCGGTTAAAGAAAACGTCCTCAAGCAAAGGTCCAGAGCATCATGACATATAACTCGCTTTAAAAACACAAAGCTGTCACGTGTCGAAGTAGCAGCTGAGATTATTTATCGCTTTCATTTTGAAAATGACAATAAAATTAGAACTCACCTCTGTGATTTGAACTCTTTCATAATATCAAGGAAGTCATTGTAAACTTGGGGCTGGTTCCCAAACTGCAGCTTCACTTGGTCCAGATAAGACAGGGCGTCTTCGACCTACAAAGAATGAGCGATACCCACAGAATACAAATGAAGCGTTTATTTTATACTACAGTGTGAAGCTAATCTAATTAAAGCACAAACACACGAGGTTGCTGTTGCTGTTATTTTAAGCACCTTCAGTCGCTGAAACTGCTGTCCTTGGGCTGAGGTCATGGGTGCCGGTGGATGAACGTGACCTTGGGCCACCGCAGGGCCCTGGGACTGCACCGCCAGGGCGTGAGCGTGGGGGCCGACGTGCGCAGCAGCAGCGCTGTTGTGTCCGTGTCCACTCGTGCTCTGGGGCATTGTGGGCACCTTATTAGGAAGAAATGACGGGAACGTTAGGATCCGCGAGCCTTAAAGAAGGCCGCGTCTACGTAGCCGCTCAAGTTCAAACATTTCAACACGCTGTATCGGCGTTGAGACTCTCCTCCCGTCACCACGGGCCGTATTTACATCCACATGAAGCTAGTGAAGAGTGTTGATGGAGCCGTTACAGCGTTGGCTAAGCTTAGCACAAATTGATCTAAACGTATAAAACAAGCATTTTAATAGTTACTTTCTTGTTGCCCCATGGATGGATCTGCCAAAGCATGGATTGAGACGTTTTACAAATCTGCATCCTTCTGCCGTTATTTCCACATCTTTTTGTCTCATTATGCAATTAAATCTCTTAGTTTAGTTTTGGTTCGTACAGTCGTGTTTCATAAGCCAACATAGCTTGCTCAATACACGGGGGGGGGAGGGGGGATTGACTGAACTCCTTCCCGATTACTTTATAAACACGACAACATTAAGTTTCCCTGGATATCTGGGACTTCCACCACACCTACAGGCGTGATCGGTCGCTTCTCGTGACTCCAACAAACATAAATGATGCAAAAAAAAAAAATAGGATTTGTGTTAGAATGTCAACAGAAGGCCTCATCCCCGCCGTCATACCTGGTAGCCTTGGGGGAGAGAGAACTGGATGCCGGGGGAGGGCTGCATGTTGTCTGCAGGTGCCTCTACCGCGGAAGGGGCCGGCGCGAGGGCCCGGTGCTGAAAGCTGTCTGCAATGCCTTGAACCGGGCGACGCGTTTGCTGTTGCTGGGGTGCAAATATTGGTTCCTGGTCCTCCACGCGCCTCTTCATTTTACACGCATACTCCAAGGGGCTAAAGGGGCGTTTAAAAAGAAGATTGTTAAAAATGTGCTCTGTGTTCTACTCATATTTATTTGCACAGAAAGAATCAAGAGCCAGTAATATTTTCAAGTAATACTAATGCTTTAGTTTTGAGGTTGTCATCAGTGATATTTCCACTGATACGTACACAACTTCCTTTGCTAGTGAGTTTGTTAATTTAAGACAAAAAGACACGCATTATTTCAAAATCAAGATTAGACCACAATAAATGTATCAATTTGTCGATCTTAAAATTATCTCACTAAAAAGTGTGTGACGGAGGATTGTATTGTGCTTAAAAGTGTAATATTTATCACAGGCTTTGTGCAGATTTTGTCAGAAAGGTGTTGGACTCAAACCATTGTGGAAACTGGGAATGGTGTTTCTGCACTAGTCGATCCAATAAAACTGTGCGTTGAAATGTCTGGGATAACTGTTGAATGTCACAGACTAACTAAAGAGAAAGGCTAGAAATCAGACACCGTTAAAGTGTATAAAGGTGTGAATGGTTTAGTTGTGTACAGGTAGGCTCAACAGTCTACCTAACAAATGATGACCTTAAAGCCTGCCTTTATTTTGCTCTATAATCACCACTTGGAAAGAAAATTTGATGAAAAAAAATTTGACTACTTTACCAAGTAACGGTTAATAAGAAATACACAAAAACAACAACAAATTAAAGTAGTGGGAACCAAAAAATCCAAAATTATATTGAAAGGCTGCAAGGAAACTTTATAGACATGCCGTCATTGTTCAGCTGGTTAGGGACCATCCTTCAAGTACACAGCAGTTCCTCTAAAGAGCTCCATTTGCCTGCTACTATGATGGAATGAAGCTACCACCTATTCATTTGACTATTTAAATGAATATTAGTATTCCTCTCGATGACAATGTTTTAAAATGTTGAAACCAGAAATATATTTTAAAATAGTTGGTTAATGTAATAATAATAATAATATGTAGTGTAATTTATAAAACCATTCACTGGATATACAGTTAGTTTTAAGTCTTAATTGAGTTATGCAATTATATTTGCACAAAAATGACTAATTTAAATTATTAACTTACTAGCAAACTTTTAGATTTACGTGTACACAGAAACATAACAGTTTAAAACAAATACAAAATAGAGAATAGTATAGGTCAAGAAGTGTGTAACTTCTTACATTAACTCAATGTTTTGCAAGACATAAATACAACAGATTTAAGTCTGCGTGGCTCTGCGCACGTGTGGACGACGCGTTCCACGGAGGAAAGTCATTTGTTGACGCTCCCTCACAGAAACGTCACTGCGGTCGTTGAGCAGAGGAGGGCGGACATTGTGCCTCGCCGTCCTGCACCACCAGTGTCGGAAAACACGGTGGCCAGGCGTGCGGTCTTTGGTCGCCGTCTTCGACCGCATACCCAGCGTCTTCGACCGAAACGCGAAGCAAATTCAGTTATACAACGTTATATATAATTTTTTTTTAAAAGATGGCGAGATTTTTTTTATCGAGGGGCGGGAACAGGCTAACGTTAAGCTTCGAGCTAACATTCTATGTAGGCGCTGTCTCTCTCTCGTAGCCCTGCCTCATCCCCTCCCCCCTCTCTCTCTCTCGCTCGCTCCCTCCCTCCCTCTCTGCCAAACACCGAGCTTTAACGCCAGCCGTTCTCGGGCAGTTTCAGGGGCAGACCGCTTTCGCTGGTCTCATGGCTGCCGTTGGCTTTCGTCCTAGCCGAGCGCGACGTCATGTGGCAGGCGAGCGATCCTCGACCGTCTGCGAAGTGAAAATGCTCGATAGCGGGGAAGACACGACGAGTGTGTCACCTCTCGGGACGTCGCCTACCGCCCCTCAGTAAATGGGACTTAAGTTTAAAAAAAAAAATGTCCAGATGAGCGGAACGCGTTGGCTAGCTTTCCGTTAAATCGGAGATATCGACTTGGGGAAAAAAACAAACAAAAAAACAGCCGCGCTTCGTCGCAGCTGACAGTGCCACAACACAGCGGGCTGCTCGGTGTGCAACGTGCGGGCAACCGTAACACCAGCGGAGTTAAATAAAGTCACGCAGTCTGTGATTAAGTCGGTCCATGCTAGCATGCTAACGTCACGTCAGGAAAAAAGACCGCTAGCTAGCTGACACGCTAACACTAGCCTTGCCGTAACGTCAACGTCGCATTAACGCCAAGTTGTGCGAGAAGTTCGACGGGAAAGGGGGGATTGGATCGTCAGACAAACTGCTTCGCCGCCATCAGCGCTTTTTACTTACTCAAAAGTTAAATTACATGCAGCAAGAGGAAACTAACAACAAATAAATTGCACGTCAGGTCAGCCTACTTAGCGTTAGCATGTCAAGCTAATACATGTTCGCCGCTCTTAGCATGCTAGCATCGCTAGCTTGACTAACTTCATCGCCGCTGCAGGCTAATGCAGCCGCTACTCAAATCTCATGTAATTATGTTGGAAGACGGACATACAGTAAAAACACATTTCACATGATCACAGAAATAGCAGCGAGTGCCCGATCGCTTCCTGTTGTATTCGGCAAGGTTACATAGGAGCTAACTAAAATGCTACGTTAGCACAACAACCGACCCCCATCAGTAACAGGGCATCTCCGGGGCTAACGAGCTAGCACTAGTTCAACTTACCTCGCAGGACTGCCACCAGCAACAATTTAACCCACCAGTAAATCGGGAGCCCGCCGGGAAACCGCTACCCGCGCATTCACCTGTCCGTGACGGGAAAGAATAAGTTCTAAGAAGTGGCAGCCGGTGTAAATGTCAAAAAATGAAATTGGCCGTAGAGGCTATGTCGCTAACAACAGTGTATGTATGAAGCGGTGTTCCCTGAACATAGAGGCGTGTCTAACAAGAAGGCGGGCTAGACTCCGCCCAGTCTAAACGCCGATTGGTCGGATCTCCAGAATGAAAACAAATACAGTAAGGGCGGCGAGCCAGTATCTTTGGTTAAAGGCGACTGGTTTAGTTTAAATGGTAATGTCAAGTGCATGTTTACCTGCACCAGAGGCTCCATGGTTCTCACCTGGTATATCGCAGGTGGACGTTTGTTCCACGCGACTGAGAGGTGACTCCAGCCAATGTATGCTTCGCAAACTTAAGGGCATGCCCGCTTTCTTTTTCTATTTTTACACAGACACCGATCTGCAGAACCGTCAACATCATAGTAACTCTTGAAAAGATTCCTCTGTGTCCGGTCAGGAGGTGCTTTTTCATATACAGATAGTTAATCAAATTAAGTCACTTTTGTTTCCCAACTCTTTTGGTGCTGAAATAAATTTTAATTTGTGTCACTGTTTAGCAAAAAACATTTCAATCAGTTGTATTGTCATTTTAGAACAATGCTGGTCTCAAAACTCCGTGCATTGATTCATTCAAAAAGCAGAATAGGTAAAACACAACAAAACTAAACATTCAGTGCCTGCAATTTTGCACACAGAAAATGTTCTCTGAATTGCATAAAGCTGTGTATACTGTACACAGAGCTCTGCCAATGCAACTTAGATCATTTGTTTGCAAAACTAAGCGTTTTTTGATTTTTTATATGTGGTAAACTTTTGTTATTGTCTTTAAGTCACCGGTAAATTGTTCAATTCTTCTAAAGGTGTTTGACTCTTTTTTGTAGCTTTATTTTTTCAAAAACGTATTCTATAATCAACATTATTAAATGAGTATTAGTACTTTTGTTATATGTCATGATGTCAATGACTAAATAAATCAAGAATTATACTGTAATAAAAAATAATATTACATATCCATTCCTCATTTAAGCAGTTTGTGTGACAATATTCCTTGAACTTGATGCCTGACTGACGGAAGGTTCACAAGTAAACAATAGTACAAGCACGAATTAAATTGGTCTGATTCAATGTTTTAATGACATAAAGAAATAATTGAAGACACCAAAATGAAATCCACAATGTTTGTAATTGGTTAACATTCTGAAAACAGGGCACAGAAAGAAAGCGTTGTCTTTGTTATTCATTGCTGAAAATTCCAACGATGCAAAGTCTAAAATGTTATTCTGATATATGCAGATTTCATTGTAAAAAGAGATTTTAAATGTCAACAGTGTTGACCGGTGTTTTTTGACCGTACTGCGCTGTGCACGGAGCTGACAGACGTGTCACGTAGCGTGTTCTCACAGGTCCTCATGCCGGCTCAGTGAAGAAGGACGTTTTGAAGAAATATGCCGATAGTGGTTAAAATCACTCCTGCTGCCACGGACGAGGCCTGTTCAGGAGCTGCAAGAGAGGAATTTAGAATGACTGTGTTTACATTTTGACACCAAGCCAGATGATTTAAATTAATTCTAAAACAGTAGCGAAAAACTTCTCAAATGTGAGGATTTGCTGCTTTTTCTCTTTGGGAATGAAATGATCAAAACTTCTTTTTTACGTTTGTTCTCTGCTCCTATTTAAGAATAGTAATCTAACCCTCACTTTGCAACAACATCTCTGGATATCGAGCAGCTTAACGCGTAAGTGCGTTCCTCCAAAATAAAGCAATGATATTGACATTTGATTGACGGTCACAAATTTGAAAAGCCCAAAAAAGAGGCTTGGAAAGTGACGCCCTACCCCGTGAGCTGATGGTGCTCTGGCCAGCTGGCGCGGCGGTCGGCGCGGCGGTGACCGGCGCGGAGGTAACTCCCAGTGGAGAGACCGGCGCAGGGGTTGCCGGCGTGGGAGCGGTGACCACGAGGCTGACGGGTCCCGAGCGAACGGTGTACGTGCCGGTGAGCAAGCTGCTGACCGTCACCCTCGGACTGAGGGAGCGCGTGCACAGGTCGGGGCACCTCTCAGAGGGCGAGGTGGCGATGCAGAGATTCACTGTGCACTCGACGTACATCTGAAGGAGACAACACGCCAAATAAACACATCAGGACAAACAGTAACTTCAACTATTTATAAGATCACAACTCAGGAATTACTAACTAACAGCAAGGTTGAACCTCGACCAACACGAGCACATCAGCGAGTCTGTGCAGCTCCACCAGGCCGTACTTTAGCTCCCCGTTAGGAGGGGCCGTTGAGTGCATCTATGACCTCCATCCGATATGCCGGGTCAAAGGTCAGAGAGACCTTTGGCCAACAGCACACTATGTGTTCTACGATGCCTTACAGTCAATTTCCTCCATACAGCCGTGTTGGTGGTAAACCGGTTGCCCTCCATTGAGACGTATTTTGTACGTTTAAAAAAAAAAAGGAGGAGCAGCAAAACATGTATTGTGTGAACGCGGTGCACGACAGTACGGACCGTGGATCCTTGGGATTGGATGGAGCTCAAATCGAGGCGGTAAACCTTGGAGTTGTTTTGTTCTGTAATAACCTCAACAGTGCTGCTGGAAGATGAACACCTGGAGGAGGAAGAGTGAGAGAAGTGAGATAATTAATAAAGTCTTTTGTGTACGTGCGGTCCCGCTCAGGTCGGCTGCACGTCGGATACCCTGACTGACCCTTGCTCCAGGATTAAGGTGGCCTGCGCAAAGTCTGCCGTCTCAGACCGGCGGCAATTGCCCACCAGCATGTCGGCCCGTTCGATGCTGCAGTTGGACATCACCTGGAGGTCCAGCTGGGTGAATCTGGACCCGACGGCGAGGGAGCCCGCGTCGTCGGAGGACTTTGCATCCCGACGCGCCCGTCCCGGCGCCAACTCGAGGGAGCGGAACCTGGCCAGGCGCGTGAAATTTCCCAGGGGCCCCTCCCCCGGCGGGTGAACCTCTAGCCAGATCCCGACCTCGCCGAAGGACTCCTTCTCGGTGGGGATGCGCACCTCGTACTGCGGGCCCCTGGCCTGGACGCCGGGGATCCGGCAGGCCAGAGGCAGGACGAGGGAGGGCCGCCGGCTGACCATGGTGAACGGACGCACGCTGTGCAAAGTGTTGGTGTAAACCAGCTCCGAACCGGAGTGCTGCGTTTGATCAGAATTCAGCTGGATGAGCGGTCAGTGCAAAGTAAACTGCCCTTAAAGTCTATTTTAAATTTAAATTGAATTATTATTTGTCAGTTGATGAAGAAAAGCAAGGTTTAAAATGCACAGCATTAGTTCAACATTTCTCACACAATTTCTCGTATAGATTAAAGTGAAGAAGGAAACGGAAGGAGGGCGGAGGAGGAGGCGGCGCATGTTACCACAGCCTCGGTGCCGCAGCCAGTCAGCGAGATGATGGCGGTCAGGTGCGTGCTGTTGTAGGCGACGGGGCAGGTGGGGCTGTTGAGCTGCAGCTCGGCCAGGTCGATGCCGCGCAGCGAGGCGACGGACAGCACCAGAGTCATCTCCGTCTTCCCACACGTCAGCACTGCGGGCCGACAGCAGCACGGTCACAACTCTGCAGGCGCTTCTAACATTGTGAAATGAACTGGGGGGGGAAAAAAGCGGCAACGTGGTCTCAACCTGTTCCAGGGGGAAGCGTCCTCATCTCCCCTGAAAGGATGGAGACAAGCAGACGTCAGTGTTCCTTTTAGGTTTAACTCTGATGCACGGCTGGCATTCGGGTGACGGAAGGCGCTCTTACTTTGGTGCAGCCACACGCACCGCGGCTCCGACTGCAAACTGGGAGGATGAGAAGTGCAAATCACAACCGGTTGTGTTGCTAAATGTGGTTGGCGGTGTCAAAGAGACACGGATAACACTTGTAAAACGTTTCGGCATTGGTGGCGCCCACCGTGATGACTCACCTATTGGTGTTGGCAACAAAGCAGACGGGCAGAAGGCGGGGGAGTTGGTTTTCGGAGCGGATCCAGGCCATCGTCATGGCCGCCAGGGGGCCGACTGATTTGAAACCAACCCTGTAGAGGTCGGGGGGGCCGACCACCGCTACCTCTAAAACACTGGGAACACACAGAGAGAGGGAAAGCCCGTGACGTCCGCTGGTCAACGCACGCGGCCGATACCGGTTATTGGGGTTAGACCCGAAAAACCACGACTCCTGTGCGAGAACCATCTGTCACGCGCCACTAAAGGTCCAAAATGTGGCTCTTTGCATCGCTTAATGCTGATTTCTGTTTCTGTTTGGTGTGATTGGTTTCCGTGCGATGATGTGCAAATATTTGAAATTGCTGAATCCCTGAGGTGGGGGGGGGGAATGCAGGTGGACCGGTACATCCAGAACACAGGGGGTTGGGTTCAACCGCTGCAGTGCTTTCCCGTGTTCTTTCTCTTGAAATGCCAGCAGGCAGCTGGCAGCACCGGCGTGTGAAAACTGAGCGGAGCAGTGGGACCCGAGGCTGCTCTCCTACCCAGAATGCCGCTCACTGCCTGATGTTCCGTCGCAGCCGAATCAGACGGGAAGAAAGCGGCAGGGGGGGGTCGGTGACTGTGGAGCCCACTTCTTCGCTCAGACCCGAGAGGGGCCGAGAGCAGGACTCTGATTGGCCCAGAGGGGGGAGCGCTCTGTGATTACATCACAACGCCAGCTTCCGGAGTCGTCTTTGCCGCCGCTGTGACGTCAGAAACGTCACTGCTGTTTTAGTTGCAGTTGTCATGTTTTCCTGAAGGTCCCCCTCCAACGAGCCGCCCGTGAATCCTCGAATCTCGCGTTTCCTGCCCCCGGGGGCCAGTTTGGGACCTCGGCTTGTACAGATAACGTGAATTGAACTCCATACTTAGTAGTAATAAAAAGGAAAAATGCACATGCAAGCACGCACCTTTCCGTCTGTGAGGTGAAGCTGGTGTCAAATTGCACCTGCTGGTACGGCAGGACGAACCGCGTGGTGCCCCCCTGGGGGGTGTCGCCCGTCGCCGTCGGCTCATCGAGGCAGCTGGAGGTCGACTCCTCCACTGGAAGGGAGGAAAGAGAAGCCGACGCGTTTCTAGAACTGCAGACCACACCTGAGAAACTACGAGAGGAAGACGCCAAGAGGGGGGGGGGGGGGGGGGGGCTCACCGGTGAGAGACAGGTGCACGGGGACAGAGCTCAGGGGGCTGCTGTCCGCCACGCGGCGTATTTTGGGAGCGGGAATCCGGTCCTCGGCCATCAGGTAGATGGAGTACTGTCCCGCCGCCGCGTTCCCAGTGAAGGACAACGTGCACGTGTCCTGGGGAAGAAAACATGTGTTTGATCTGCAAAGCATGATTCAGATCAAAATGAGATTTCCTCAGCTGTATTTACGAAATGAGCCCAAAACAGGTTTAAAACCATTAGACATGTATGTGAGTCATTTAAAGAACACAACCAGAGTGTGGCGGGTATCTGATAACTTTAACTTTTAAATCCACGTCATTTAAGTTCTTTTAACTCTTTGACAGCTTCAGTTCAGTTAGATTCAAATTATGTCAATAAGTCATTTAACGCATAAATAAGGCAGTGTATTATTTTTCATATTACCAAATTGTAAATATGTAAGTAAAATAAGTAAATATGTGATATTATTAAAGGGCCATTTACAGTATACAGTATATAGATGTATGCATAATTACTAATAATGATATATATATACATATATGCATACACATGTGTGTATCATGATTTAGCCATACTGCATATTGTATATCTATAAATATTTTGTAGTATCTCCACATTGTAGTATTTATAGTATTTCTTCGTCCACCAGAGATGATGGTGATGATGATGATGGTGACGATGATTCTTCATCGTGTACTGCGAGGTCAGACCCACCTCATCCAGCTCTATGAAGGCGTGCTGAGGGCAGCTGACACACTCTCCCTGGTCGGGCCGAGCGAAGCGGCACGTGACCCGGTCACCGTCCGGGTCCTTCGCCGACAGGGGGAAGTGGTGGGGGCATCCGGCTCGCCCCCTGAGGAGAGGGGAGAGAGAGAGAGAGTCCTTCACAAACAGAGGTCAAAGGTCTTCACCTGGAGAATGAGGGCACAAGGAGAAAGAGCAGCTTGGACACACTGCACCAGTCCCTCAAAGGAGGATTATTAATATAATAATACAATAATATAATAATTATTATTCATTATTAATGGGGATTCTCTCATTGTGGAGAATAGTCGTCTCTCTTTAAGGCGCAAAGAGGCCTCTGAATGTTTTATACCAAAGAACTAAACATTTAAATCAGACAGCTGCATTAGCCAGCCTTCTTTTGCACACGGCTCTGTTGTCTGTTCTGAATGTTAGATGTAGCCACGCCCCCTGATTTGCATATAAGAACGTGAAATGCAAAACGGCATTATGTAATAAGTCTCTGGAAATGAAAAGTGGCATTATGAAATAAAAGTACCATGAAATAATTAAATTATTATTATTAATAATTAATTAATAATTAGTTTTATTATTTTTATTAAAGTATTTCATATTTATGTATTTATTGCCTCATTTATTTATTTCATGATGTATTTCAAATGCATATTTCATGTATTTACGTATTTATTCATTTATTTAATTTTGACTAAAACGGCATTCCATGACTTTAAGATGAACCAGGTGTGTGAAATACAACATGTCAGGGGTCAGTTTAACTTCTAAATCAGATGAAATGTCAAGTAGTGTTTGCGTTGATTGAAGAAGGTGCGGACATGTAAATAAGTGCGCCTCCGGGGTGCACGCCGTCGCCCTGTTAGCGGTCTTCGTGCTAAGCTAAGTTAGCCGGCAGCTGGTTGAAACTTCCCATTTACATTTTTAAGACGAATGCAATCATTTATACGTTAAATTAAAATATGTGTTTGAAGAGCAGGTGTGTGTGTGTGTTTGTACCTCAGTGGAGGAGGGAGACCAACATAAGCAGGTTGGTTCAGTCTGCCGCTGTTTTCTCGAACCTTTGGACTCGCGTTCATGGACACATACATTTCTGTGTTCGAACTAAACACAAAAAGTTAAATGTATCAGAGAAATTAAAACAACTTAAGGAAGCCTGATTCAATTAACAAGTAATAGAGTCCAATGACACAAGACAAATACTAAATAATAAGTATTACTACCTTCCAAAAAATGCATTACTTTGATAACTTTATCAACAATTAGCAATTGAAAGACTAAAGGTCATAGGACATTTTGTAGAAGGTGAGATGTTTGTTTGACCGTTTAGTAATTATGTTTAGGAAGCAAACAAACCACATCAAGAAAACTTTCCACAAGCTAAAAAATTATAATAAAACAGGAAAAAGAGAAATGATCTTTTTACGGAGGTGATGTATGAATGAAGGTGTGTGTGTGTGTGTGTGTGTTTGCGTGCGCGGGCCTCGTACCCTAAATCGATGGTAGCGTTGTAATTGCTGGGCACGGTCTTCTGCCACTGGCGGACGCACCAGCCGGAGCCGGGCTTGGCGCCGGTGAACGGTAGCGGGGTGGCGTGGACCAGGCAGTCCTCCCCTGCAGAGCACAGGCCCGACAGAGACGGACACGGACCGGCAGCGATGGCGCTGAAATGAGCCCGAACCTGCAGGAGGCAAAGAGACGCCATGACGAGCTGCGTGACTTCCCAACATGCACCTGGCCTTGCGTACGTCACAATATATTGAGTTATGGGTGGTGGACATACAATGTCCTTTCCATAGCAGAGGGAAAATATAAACCTATGAAAACCAAGGAGGAGAAATGGAAAAGGGCCTCCAGGATGTTTAAAGATGGGGGGCTTCAGCTGAACAACTCATGTTTCATGGAGTAAGAGCTTTTCTTCTCCCCTGTACGAGGAGTTCACCGTCACCTGAGACAAAGCTCATTAAAGGAGAGAAAAGCGCTGAGCACCGTATTGCCTCCGTCGGCGTCCAGCGGCACGACGTGCACCGCGAGGCCCAGAGAAGAGGCTCCGCAGGCCGGGCAGAGGAGGACCAGCGTCAGGCCCAGCAGCAGGCCGCCCGGGCCCAGCTCGCCCCGCATGGCCGCCGCTCGAGCCTTTAAGGGGGGGGGGTCGCATGGAGACACAAAGGAACAAATCCTTACAATAAAACGTCAACGGGGCAAAAGGGAAAATGAGTAAAATGATAAATTCATATGAAAGACAAACATGAAATAAGGGTTGTAAATATTTTCACATTTATTTCTTGGATTTATTTACGGTGTACTTATTTATATATACTGTGTATATTTTGTAATATTCTTTAAGTTAATAATTAATTAACCTATTTGTTGTGGAGTTCTTTCATTTAATACAATGTAATTTATAGATTTATATCCATCCGTTTAGTCCTAGAACAGCTTTAGTCCTCTAGTCCTTTAGTCCTGTTCCTTGTTCAATTGACTTTGGACCGGCTTGTAATTCTTGTAATTTAAGAGTCATAAAATGCAAAAACAAGTCATGCGTATACATAAATACATGAACAGATAAATTAAAATGCTTATCACCATTCAAATTTTTCCAAATATCTAGTGTTCTTATTCCTGACCTTTTAATGTTTTGTATGGCACTTTGAGACTCCATATGTAGGATGTTACATTGTGCGTTTAAGTTTGAAATGTTTAAAAAGTACAACCTTTTTTTTAGTGCGGGGGGGGTTAATTCACATTCCCGCCATAACGAGTCCTGACACTTGCACTTTGGTGGCGTCATGTCTGACGTACGCAAGTCTTCTCAGGTGTCTAATAAGGTCTGTGGTTACTTTCGGATTCACTCCCAAAATAAATGATCATCATGACTTGATATTCAAGTTCCTATTTGGTAACGTAGACCTTACGTTTGAAATACAACCTAATCTCTGCATGTCTCCAATGATACGTTTTAAATATCCACATCTCAGTCAATTAATTCTGGTTAATTAACACACTCAGAGGAACATTACAGGTCATTTAGCTGACGCTTTTATCCAAAGCCGGTGCTTGAAACGCCAACTTTGCGGTTCTCGGCGCACCCTCTACTCCTGCACCACTGTGTTAAATGTGTTTAACAGTAGTTACGGCAGCTGATTTAACATCCAGGATAACTTTAATATCTCGGCTTAATCCCTGATCCTGGTTTCGTGCAAAAGCCCGAGGATTTTAAAATAGGATTTAGTCTCTGCATGAATCTTGAGCTAAAACTCATTTAAAAATAAATTTAATTTCTACAGTTTGGCGATGCATCTTTGCTCCCATTAGAAAAGGCCGATGCTCTCATGAGTTATACTCAAAACATTGATACTAGAACAATGTCTAGATCCATTTTACTGTACATTAACGTATTAGTGCCACACTCACACAGAGCATCACATCTGCCTCCTATAGAACATCTGTGCAAGAGGAAGTCATGTGCCAAGTTTTTACTAGAAGAAAATATCTCCTTCAAAACAGGTCAAATTCTGCCACATTTCGGCGACTCAAATCTCCACAAAGTGCAAAAACAATCCCACAAACACAATAATTCCCCTTAATTACCTGAACTTCCGCTCAAAAAGCAGCAAAGCGCCGGTGCTGGTTTTGGTCAGTCGATCTTCAGCTTTTGTATTTATCGCTTTTCTAGATAACCGAAGTGTTAAAGTCCCAGCGAAGGTCTAGACGGGCAGCGGACGAGTGTTGTTGCAGTGAACATGTTCCCTCTCTGATCACTGCGGGCGGAGCCTCGCCGGCGGACACAGAATGGAGTCCAACTGGCTCGGCAAGACGGCAAGAAATAGAATTCATGACTAAGAGTGCGTCAGGATGTGTTCACCTGCGGGTGCAGGATGTCACCTGTGTGTGTGTGTGTGTGTGTGTGTGCGCGTCAGAACAACAAGCATCATGTAAGAAAAGACAAAACGCAAATGTAACGACTAAGATTTTTATTCTAGCAAAAGATTGTTTTCAGAGGGACGACGGAACAGTGTTGCTTTAAAATCAAACAGGGAGCCCCCCCCCCCCCCCCCAATCCTGGTTGCTTTCCTGCAGAAGAAGTGCTCATCTTTCTAGCGGAGGTTACAGACTCCCCACGTCTACAAAGTCGTGTCCTTTTCTGGTCAAATTCCTGGAAAATATGGAGATTTCAATCAGTTTATCCTCAGACGCGTAAGCATCCGCGTTTGGTCAGAAAACCTCGGGAGAGGGCGGGGCTTTGGACCCCCTCCCAGGTAGTTGGATACAAAGATGGCGGCCCGCCGACTCCTTGTACTTCCCGTCGCGCTACTCGCCATTTTTCACGCTGAGCATTTTCCCCTGCAAGTCAGAAAAACGACGTCAGACAAGAGCGAAATCGTCAAACGCACCAACGAAGCGGCCCTCAGGGGCCAATCAGCGGCACGCGCACTTTGATCATGGTCTCCAGCTTGATGGCGTCGGCGGCGAACTTGCGGATGCCGTCGGACAGCTTCTCCACGGCCATGCGGTCCTCGTTGTGCTGCCAGCGGTAGTCCTGCTCGCCCAGGTGGATCTTCTCCAGGTCACAGGCCTTCGCTGCAGGAACAAACCGCCGAGGTCAGCAGCGTTTTTTTAAAAACAGGTCGAGGTCAAATGATCTGTACTTCAATGGCGACGTCTCGCTTTGTTGTTCCTCATATTACTTCAGTAAGACTTCCTGCTTGAGTGGAGATAAAATCCTTGATTTATATTTAGCGACTTTTGACACTAATAAAAATAGATCATAAGACTCATTGATATTCATGAGGTGCTTAACATTGATCAGTTATAGTTTAATGTAAAGAGCAAAAAGTTCAGGGAACTTGAGATGAGATTTAACTGTATTTATGGAGAAAAGTGCAGCAATAAGGACAATCAGTCAAAAGCATCATGAATAAGTAATCATAGTTTAAACTAAAATACAAGTCCGAGCCACATGTCGAATAGGGGTGTTAAAAATAAAAATGCACCAACAATAGAACTGCACTTTTAATCTGACAACAAACCAATTATTATAAAAGTACAGCGGGTAAGTCACCTCACCTCACCTCAGGTTGTTGCGCCGCGCCCCCCCCACATGGAAACAGAACACGCCGCTCCCAACGTTAATGTGTCAGAGCGACATTTTTTGTGTGCCCGCAAGCTGCCAGTCTGAACATTCTTCTACAGCACGTCTGACCTCAAAGGAGCGGCGTGAAGCGACACCCCATAATACTCGCCTGGCACCATCGCCAATCATCCCGACGGAAAACCACAACGTTTGCCGTTTTCAGCCGCCACGCAGAACCCTCGTGTCTCCGCCCCCCCCAGTGGACGGGACCACGTTCAAGCATGAAACCCGCGAGCCGATCGACGGCGTCTTCGAGAGAATCCTCCGCCGAGCCGAGTGGCGGAAGCGGGACGGCGTACCTTTGTCCACTCGGAGCGCGGGCGTGACGGCGCTGTGGTCCTGGCTCAGCTCCGCCAGCAGCCCGGGCGAGATGGTGAGCAGATCGCAGCCCGCCAGGGCTTTGACCTGCCCCGTGTTCCTGAAGGAGGCGCCCATCACCACGGTGCCGTAGCCAAACTTCTTGTAGTAGTTGTAGATCTTGGTGACGCTCAGCACACCTGCGCGAGGACAAGGGCAGCGTTTTCAAAAGACGGGAGGACGTTTCCGCAGTAACGGGATGGCGCTCAGTCGCGGCCCTCGAGCCCGACGCGCCACAAGCTAAACTCTCCCCCGCGACCACCAGCCGTCCTACCCGGGTCCTCGTGCGGCTCGTAGCTGGCGCGCCCGCTGTTCTCCTTGTGCCAGTCGAGGATGCGGCCGACGAAGGGCGATATGAGAGTCACTTTGGCTTCGGCGCAGGCCACCGCCTGCGCAAAGGAGAAGAGCAGCGTCATGTTGCAGTGGACGCCGTGGTCCTTCTCCAGCTCCCTGCGGGGAGAAAGCTCACGTTGAGTCCCAGCGAACACGAGACGGGGAACGAGTCGTTACATGAAACGGTCATTTCTTCATTTGCTTCAAATGTCAAGTCAACTGAAATTCGCACGATAGAAGAATCCATAAATGGAAAAATGTTTAATTAAATGACGCTACCAGAATGAAGAGGCGGAGTTTACAACCTGAATTAAACCCTAAACCTTCAGTTGGTTCTGAGCTGGTTGGTAACCGTTGGTTAGGGGCGGGGCCTATTATCACCAAAACGAATGACGTCTGCAGGCGCATCGTGGATTACAGGAGCTTCCATTATGACGGATTTATTTCAGAGGAACAAAAATAAAAAACAAATCGAAGCAGCAGTGTGAGAAAACGTTTCAGTAGCGATCCGATGGCGCTCACCTGCCCGCCTGGATGCCCTCCCACGTAGAAGACAGCTTGATGAGCACCCGCTCCTTACTGATGCCGGCTTCCTCGTAGAGGCCGATGAGCTTCAGGGCCTTGGCCACCATCGCCGCTTTGTCAAAGGAAAGTCTGCCGGGCGAAGACAAACAACGACCACATCACGGCTGGATGTTGGTTCACCTCCGACCTTTAGGCCGGAGTCGCACACGTGGCTTTGCTAGTGTGTGTGTGTGTGTGTGTGTGTGTGTGTGAGAATAAGAGGCAAACGGGGAGATGAAGAGTCACGGTGTTCATTCATTTCTGATTCGAGAATAACAGGAAGTGACGTATTTGGAATGGGGAGGGGTGACCGTGACCTGTCAATCACTGGGTAGCCCCGCCCTAAGGAATCCCCCGCTGACTCTAAATGCGTCGTCATTCACTACATGAACATCATGCTGTATTGAAGGTTTAGGCACAGAAACCTAAAAGCCTGAATTTGAGCCGCTAGTTCGTTTGTCCCTTCCGGGCTGCTGTAGAAACGTGGAGAACGGCGCCGTGTGGAGGGAGAAACAAAAACAATGATACACATGTTGAGGTAAATATCCTCAGAACCCCATTTAATATTAAATGCCATTCATGTGAATCGTTTTTAATTAAATAGCTGAATCATCTAAAGCCTGTGACCAGTGAAACGATGAAGAGTGAGGACACCAGCAACCATCTTGGGCGTCATTCTGAAACGCGTTTGCTGGTCGTCGTTTGCCTCCCTACCTGGCATCCACCTCGGTGGAGACTCGGCCCGGGACCTTCTTCAGGATCTCCAGCCCAAAACTGACAAAGAGCTTGTCCATGGCGTTTGCCACCTGCTCCTCCTCCGTCCTGCAGGGAGGACGACGCTGGTTAGCCTCACGTTCCGTACACACAAAAGGGATTTGAATGGACATTGTGTGTGTGTGCGTGTGTGTGTGTGTGTGGTACAAGAACTGCAAACTGATTTGTGGTCAACCTTCTTACCCGCCTTTGGCGACGCCGTATTTGATGGCCTGGTCCACCAGCGGCTGGTAGGCCGGCATCTTGGCGGCGGCGAGGATGAGAGACGGGTTGGTGGTGGCATCTTGAGGCTTGTACTCCTCGATGGCTGCAGGACGGAGCAAACGATTTAATTTACAAATACGAGTGCATTCGTTAATAAAATACAAAAATAATCTACAACTACAAAAAATAAATGCTGCTCTATAAACCCAATTAAAAAGACCAAAGTATTTATAATAATATTTGTGTTACCTTTCATGAACAGGTCTGCAAGTCTATCTTACAACTCCTCACGCGGATCAACACACTGACCAAATGTAACCTGTTGAATCTACAAATACCTGCTGCTGTCAGATGGAACATGGCGCCACCTACTGGACAGAACGTGTGAGCAGCCGACAACTATTCAGACTGACTGAAGCAGGTGGAGCGGTTCTTTTTGAAATAAGGTTCACGGTTAAACAACGTATTCACATAAATTATTAATTTGTTGTTTATTCCTAAAACTTGATTATATGCTGATTAAGAAGTCCTCTGATGATAACAAGCGAGCGGAATGTTTAGCACTAAAAAGTGCACCATGAACGGACTGGAGTCATTTATGCAGCAGCGTGCCACAAGCAACTTTTAGAACTCCACTGTTTTTAATTCGATATGCAGGAGCTTCTTCACGCGCCGCTCGAGGCTTTTTGTGTCAGCGGACGATTGTTGCTGCAGAATCCAGCCGCCGCCGCCGCCGGCTCTTCAGCGGAAGGACAAAGCCGGCCTCTGTTCTGCAGCCAGTTGTCGTCGTCGTGCCCCCCCCACCTCCTCCCCGCTTCAACAAAGTGAATAAATTGGATCCTTCTGCGAGTCAGTGGCTTTGTGCTAAATACTTCACAGAGTTAAGTGCTGCTGATTACAGCAGTATTCCCATAACGCGGGTCTGGCCTGTCTGAACCTGGGGCATTAAAATAGAAATGGTTTGTAAGCTCTACATAATTTAATATCCATCCCGAATACATTTACACTGATTATTCACATCAAATAGGAAAATATATAGCCTGAGGTCACGACAGTCAGATTTCAGCTTTAATCTAAGTGTGTGTGGACAGTAGAACTATACTAGAAAAGGTACATCGTAATACCACCGTTTTAGCCTTTATTATTTTATGGGTCTTTTTTTGCAAATATGTAGTTAGGCGACATAAACACACACAAACAACCTGTTTCTTTTGTGACAACGTCATTGTAGAAGATCAGAGCGGGAAGAGTAGAGCGGTAACGCTCCTGTGCAGAGGACGGTTTATCACTATTCGCAAATAATAGAAGAGCTAAAAGTGTTGTGTGATTTCACTGTATTGCAGCTTCTTACAATCTGGACCACATGATTGATGAAAAGTATGCACATGAATAAACCATCAATAACTGAAGGCAAGCTGCCTTGTTCAAGATTTTACAGGCGGCGCCGCCGCCCCCCCTTCCCATTTACTTCAGGCAACATTTTCTTGCCCAACATAGTCATGTGAAGAAAGAGCGAGCAGTTGCTCCATCTCTGACCACGTTGTTGCAGCTCTTAGGGGAAACAGACGTGTCCAAACCTGCATCCAGTGAAGCGTAACAACAGTCACGCAACAGGTACATTTTTGAACAGAAAAGAGAAGAAAACGGCTGGTGAATCTTGAGTAACCGCTCTTTCCACCATCATAAACTGGTTTCTAATGACTGAGAAACCCACAGATTGAGGGACGATCTGATTACATTGTGTTACCACTGCTCATGTTGCAGTGATGTTAGATTAGACCAGCGTCAAGTGTATTGAACTGAATCATTGCTTATCGAACTGTGACCACTTTCTCTGTCAGAGTTGTTGTCTTTAAATTGTTATCTGTGCATCAGTTGTAAATGCAAACTTTTTAGGCCTTCAGACTACTGTAACAAACCTGCACAGAACTTGACTGTGCAGGCTTCAACTTCTGTTTTACCCGTGAAATGCCAGGACCAAAGATCTGAGACCATAAAAAACCCTTTTGATAAGCTAAACATGCATGTAGCTGTGCATGCCTTGATATTCTATTAAGCTCCTTGTTCAACACGCAGAGGGCCCCTGCAGACACGTTTAAACCCACCAGCGATCAGAGGGTCACACCGGTTCTGTCGTGTCACGGTGAGTCTGCAAGCTCTCGGATAAGGAACTATCCGGCGCCTTTTTTTTTTTTTTGCGTCACACACTGCGATTGTATTTCTGCAAACAGTTCCTCATTCTGGCCCGTTGAGAAAGGCGACCTTTGACCCCTTCGTGGAGAGGACAGGAAGCAGGAGAGGAGAGATCTGCGTTAAGAGGGGACTTTCACCCCGGCGCATGCGCGGTGCGCGCAGCTCGCAGCTCGCTCCAAGCGGGATAAAAAAAGAGGCGAATGTTCGCGGTTCTACGGAACAAGCGCGGCGGTCACGCTGTAAGCTAGGCGTCGTTTGCTGCGGTGGCTAGCGTAAGAAATAAAGCTGCCGAAGCGGCAAACGGCAGAAACAAGTAATCGGATTATCAGATAATCAACTTTCGAGGGCAACTTGAGTTGACAAAGTTAACGGCTGTAACGGCACGCCTCAAAGTTCTGCAACAGCAGTTAGCCAAGTTAGCAAACTCCAGCCCCCTCGGATTGAACTGGATACGACTGACGCTAAAGTGAAAGCACCGTCATTCCCACTGGAATCGGTGGGCTAGCATGCTAACCCAGCTAGCTACTACTCAAACGCAGCTTGCTTGTCCTCCCATTACCGTTAAAGTCTCCGGTGTCCGCCACCACCACGGTGTGCTTCTTCAGCTGGCTCAGCGCGGACTCCATCTTCCTCCGTTTGTCGGGTGACAGCGTGGACATGATGATGAGCGGGGACTCGGGACTGCTTTTTATACACAGACAACACGTGAGGCCGGGCGGAATGTCACTGAGGCGCGGGAGCGCGCGCGGCGGCAGAGGGAAGGGGGTCGGCGGGGACGCGCGACGCCAGGCGGCGGGGACGCGCAACGGGGAGATTAGACGTGAAGGGAGCGAGCGCTGAAAAAGGAAGTCAATTCCTTTAAAAAAACAATGACAAGACACAGATATGTGACTTCTTAAATTATGCATTATGCACCTATGCACGTTATACCTATATACATATAGTGGTGGTACAATTACCTCCTTCACAATTAAAGGAACTAGCATTAAAATATCCTTGGCAAAGGTAAAATGACTCATTAAGCAGCATGGCCAGTTTCACAACATCATAGTATAATAATCACTCATAAGCATTTGACTACAAATGTTGCAGCCGAGGTTCGTTTCAATTACCTAATGTACTTTATGTACTATTAATAATCTGAATCATCATCGCTACTTCAATCAGATAAATGGGGTTCAACGTTTGGCTCCAAAGAAAGTGAAGAAGAAATATAAGATAACAGAGTAGAAGTATAACGTTACATTAAAATACCTCAAAATGAAAGTAGTACATAAATGTACAAATGTACTTAATAAACATTACGTTATATATCTTATAAATGTGTCGCACAATTTATAACTTCCGCAGGCCAATGAGGTAAAGGAGAAGATCAATGTCTCTTTTACACAAGTAAAATAATAATAACACAGTATAAAAGTACAACATAACTGGTATTGAACGTACTATATTAACATGTTTTATAAGTACGGGAAGTTGTGTTAGTCCTTATTATTAGGGATGCACAATATATAAAGCGTGGTTATGCCAGAGTCAAGTTCAATGAAATGTATTTTGAATTGCCCAAAAAAAGAAACACTCTTTATTGGGGAGGAAAAAAGGAAGAAACCTTAGGAAGAGCAACAGGAGGGATTTGATTAGTTATTTTATAGGCTGCAACAAATCCACGTCTCCTTCTTATCTCCTCCCGAAGTTCATCAATGGAATTAAAATGCCATCTTGGTCTAAAATCCTTAAGTAGCCAGGGAGGCACATGAACTAACACAACATGTTTTTAACCCGCGGTGGGATTTTGGTTCCTTGATTATCTCAATAACTGTTCAAAAGCACTTGTTCCTGAAATGTCTTTGTGCCCTCCGGTAACAAGCCACTTGAGCACAGCTCTTATTTACAATAATATGGGGACAATTTCATTTAAGAAACCATAACATTTTCCGTGATTGCCTCGCTCACCTTTCAGTTTATGGGCCTATTTTTAAAAAACAAAAACAAGAATTCAAGCCTCCGGCTTCGGCAGCTTAATGCGCTCACTTACTCCACTGCCGCTCGTCTACTTCTGATTCATTCATATTGACATGAACAGCACTTTCTCATTAGCAGTAATCACAGGGCATTGATCTTTACCCAAAGGGATTCAATGAACTTTGTATTTGTCGAAGTGTGAAAACCTACAAACAATTTCCACCCAAAAGGCGAAAATAACCACTCTCATCCGTGCAGTTGTAGTAAATAACCTTTGTGATCTCCTCTCTTTGTAGTTTGTGTTGATATCTGCAGAGAGTCGGGTTTGTTTTGTGGAGGTTGTAGTTTCATGCTTATGCTTGTTTTTGTGGTTCATGACATCGATTCTTTCATTTAACGGGACGGTTAACCCCCAAATCCAAAATACACAACGTCTAACTGACCTTTTCCTCATTGGATTTTCGAAAAGAAAAATGCACCGGATCTGTTTGTAGTCAAAGACTCTCCGTGTGTGAAAGAACAGGATGTGTTTTGCATTTTCAGTAACCGGTAAGCTAATTAGATTTGACTTTTAAAACGACTCCCGGCATGGAGCAATGGTGAAGTCGAGGCCTTAAAATGCCCAAAATCGATTTATTTGATCTCAGCGAGGCTTGCAGAATGAACGACGTTTCTCAGCCGCGCGCCATCACGACGTAAACTTTCAGTTTGAACCAGGAGCAACATTTACAGCCGCGTGACTCTTGATTCCTACAAACAGTAGCAACAGCAAACGGGCGAGAGGAGAAGGCGCTGTGCAAACTCACCGCCATGTTTGAATGTTTCACAGGCAGTTTGTTTTATTGTGGCTCACATTACACGACGGTTCAATCAAAGGCGCCGCACCACGTGAACCCCTCCGTCAGTGTCAGGCGCTCAGAGAGAATGACAGGGGTCATCGGAGGTCAAACTGACAGACTTTCTTGTGTCCTTGTCTGTATTCATGTGACTGTGCGCCCGCCTTAACTTCATCTAATGCAACGAGAGGTGTTTCCTCAACACGAGCAGCTGGTTATTTTGCTACTTCATCCATGAAACATCTGTTTCTGTCATTCTGTGAATGACATCCTTCATGCTGTCAGTGATTCTTACATGTAGCGCAGTAGCTCTACTCACCACTGGGTGTCGACCTTTTGCTGTTTCATTCATTTTCACATGTGCACATTTATCCTGTTGAGAGGGAGGGAGGGAGAGAGAGAGAGAGAGGGGGAGAGAGAGGGAGTCTGTGGAGAGAAACAACGGCAGAAGTTTTGTGATACACCGAGCGAAGAAGAGTGACGAAGAGGGAGTGGGATCAGTGAGTGGTAAGTCATTGCTCTTTATTTAAATCAGACTCTCGTTCCCGACTTCTCCTCCTCGGCTCCCCGTCTTTAGTTCTGTACCGCGGCTCTGGCGCCGATGCCAGTGACCTTGCTGGAGGAGATTTAACTTTGATAAATAGTGGAGCCTTTGCCTGCTGACTTTGTCTAATTAGAAGAGATCAACTGCGGCCTGCTCGCATTCATCTCGGTTAATGGATGTTAGGTTGAGGTTGGGATTTACATCAATCACACTCGAGCTCGTTCTCCACTCTTTACTTGTAGTCGACAGTAGTTTCATGTTGCCATTGTGCAAATGTGGTGGTGAGAATGAAGCTCTCTGATTGGCTGAGGAGTGTCACCCCCCCACACACACTCTCCCTGCACTTCCTAGGGCCTCGATGAAAGACACAAATAAACTTGTGGAGAAGAACAACATTTGAGAATACCGACCATTCCTCCAGCGATCTCCTCCCATCGGTCCTCTCCTCTCCTTCCTCCCTTCAGGCCTCACAAGGCGCCTTTATGTCGAGTTCTCCCCGTGGAGCCGCTCCATCGTACACGCCGCGCCGAAGGCCGCGCTCACGCGTGTGCTGTGCACTTATTTGTTTTACAGCACAAAAGTAAATGCAGTTGTCGCAGAGCGACAGTGTTTGCTTTTTTCTGGCAGATGGGTATTTTTGGCTCGTGCTGATTCCCGACTGTCGAACGAGGAGAAATGTTTAGTGGGAGCTTTGACATTTTTATGTTCCACTGACAGAAACCACAACGGCCCAGAATGCAATGCGGCTACAAGACATGAGAACATTTATTTTGAAACGGATGATTCAAAAACAAGTCAAGTAATACAAAGACTGATACAGATGTACAAAATACATATTACAATAAAATAAAATGCCGTATTTTATTGTGAACATTTTAGAAAGAAACTTTTAGAAATACTTTTTTCTAGATGTTGATTGTAGATTGTTTTTTCCAAAAATAAGTTATTTAAATAGACAAGGAAATTATTTAATCACTGAATAGTAATTCAGTTTGTGTGATATATGAGGCCAGGAACAAGATGTGTTGGCCGGCTTTTCAAAATAAACTTCTGTCTCCCCGGGGGAATTAAGTTTAGAATCTTAGGAAGAAGAACACCTGTTTTGGTTAAAATTAACCACGAAACTGTTGTTACAGAAGTCCCTTGCGAGAGTAATCTTTTCCACTTCTTTTTTAAACCGCCCCATTCTTCCTCACCCCCCCCCCCCTGTGGGTTTTTGGCGGCCTCCCCCCCTTCGGGGCCTCTGGGGTGAGGTGTACCCCCCCCCGGCGAACAGAATACCCCCTGTGTTTCGGGAGCCACGGGCGGGAGCGGCCCGGCGCGCTTTCCCAGTTCCCGGGGGTGGCAGAAAGAGCCCCAAAAGAGAGGGAGCCCCCCCCCCCCCCCCCCCCCCACGTATCCCCCCCAATGTCACCTCACCTGATGACTCCGTTATCTCCTTTACTGAAATCGTCATGGCGTCTGATGCCAGTTCATGCCACTTGCCGCGGGCAGTGAAAACATGTCGGCGGCGGCCGGGTGTTTCCCTTGAATGGTTCCTGCTGGTGTCGTGTGACCAACCGGAGCTCAAGCTGTGGGCTCGTCGAGGCGTGGAGACTCTGCCTGGACGATTGCCCTGAACGCTGGCTGCTGAAGGTGGATAGAACAAGCCTTCATTGTCCTGCAGGTGTGTGAGAGTGTGTGAGAGTGTGTGAGAGTGTGTGAGTGTGTGAGAGTGTGCACTGCTCCGCTCCGCTCTGAATTCACCCAATTTCTCCCCAGTCCTCTTTTGCTTCAGGAGCCTACTTTCCCTTTTCCTTTTTTTTGCCAGATTTCAGCCGTCCTTTCTCCCTTTGTTCCCTCACTATTTTTCATGCTGGCAGTTTTTAAGCCTCATGTTTTCGTAGCCCACTTTTCTCCAGCCAGAGAAAGAAAGAGCTGAGAGGCGTATGGAAATATACATATACATACACACATATATATATATATATATATATATATATATTTATATATGAGTGAATGAACCTTGGAACACATCAGAGCAGATATGAGAAACTGCAACCTGTAAATATTTCAATCAGAAACTGGGCGAACACACTTCTGTGTTCACTGCTACCTCGCTGCCGCCTCGCTGCCGCCTCGCTGCGATCTCGCTTTCACCTCGTAGCCGCCCCATTGTCGCAGTGAGGTCGCAGTGAGGTGGCAGCGAGGCGGCTGCAGAGCGGCAGTGAGGCGGCAGCGAGGCGGCTGCGAGGCGGCAGCGAGGTAGCAGTGTTGTCACAGTGAGGTCACAGTGAGGTGGCAGCGAGGCGGCTGCAGAGCGGCAGTGAGGCGGCAGCGAGGCGGCTGCGAGGTGGCAGCGAGGTAGCAGTGTTGTCACAGTGAGGTCACAGTGAGGCGGCAGCGAGGCGGCTGCAGAGCGG